AGCATGCTGCTGCTGTTCCGTTGGTGCTTCACCATGCTACCCTCTCTCTCTTCCTTCCTGTTTTGCCTCTGTCCTACCACTTGCTTGCCTCTGTATTACCACTTGCTGCCTCCTCTTGTCCTTTTACCCTCCCCACAGGCCGCCTTCCAGAGGAGCTGGTGGAGATGGTGGATGTGCCCATGCTGTGCTGCTTTTGAGACGTCTCAAAAATCTTGTCCTTTTACCCTCCCCACAGGCCGCCTTCCAGAGGAGCTGGTGGAGATGGTGGATGTGCCCATGCTGGTGCTGTGCTGATGCTTCATCGTGTTACCCTCCTCTATTCCCTCTGCTTTTGCCAATTCTTACCACAGGTCGCCAGCCAGAGGAACTAGTGGAGATGGTGGATGTGCCCATGCTCGTGCTGTGCTGCTGCTGCTGCTGCTGCTGCTGCTGCTGCTGCTGCTGCTGCTGCTGCTGCTGCTGCTGCTGCTGCTGCTGCTGCTGCTGCTGCTGCTGCTGCTGCTGCTGCTTCACCATGCTACCCCCTCTCTCTCTTCCCTCCTGTTTTGCCAATTCTTACCACAGGTCGCCATCCAGAGGAGCTAGTGGAGATGGTGGATGTGCCCATGCTCGTGCTGTGCTGCTGCTGCTGCTTCACCATGCTACCCCCTCTCTCTCTTCCCTCCTGTTTTGCCAATTCTTACCACAGGTCGCCATCCAGAGGAGCTAGTGGAGATGGTGGATGTGCCCATGCTCGTGCTGTGCTGCTGCTGCTGCTTCACCATGCTACCCCCTCTCTCTCTTCCCTCCTGTTTTGCCAATTCTTACCACAGGTTGCCATCCAGAGGAGCTAGTGGAGATGGTGGATGTGCCCATGCTCGTGCTGTGCTGCTGCTGCTGCTGCTGCTTCACCATGCTACCCCCTCTCTCTCTTCCTTCCTGTTTTGCCAATTCTTACCACAGGTCGCCATCCAGAGGAGCTAGTGGAGATGGTGGATGTGCCCATGCTCGTGCTGTGGGGGGACAAGGACCCCTGGACGCCCATTGATGGCAAGGTGTGTTGCGAGGTTTTGTGTGGTGCTGTGCGGTGTATGTGGGTGAGCGAAGGATGTGCCCATGCTCGTGCTGTGGGGTGACAAGGACCCCTGGACGTCCATTGACGGCAAGCTGTGTTGTGACAGGTGTTGGAGTGTTGTGCGGTACATGTGGGTGAGTGTAGGATGTGCCCATGCTCGTGCTGTGGGGTGACAAGGACCCCTGGACACCCATTGATGGCAAGGTGTGTTGCTCAGGGTAGGGTGTGGGTGCTGTGCGGTGCATGTTGGTGTATGTTGGTGCATGTCGGTGCACTTCTGATTTTCCCATACTGGTGTTGTGGGGACAAGGATCCCTGAGGTGATGCATTGGGTGCTGATGTGCTGACTTGTTATCATGATGAAGAGCTGTTTCTTTGTCCTGTGTTTGATCAGGTGGCTAAGCTGTTCAAGCGCTTGGAGGAGCAAAGGGGAAATGACAAGGTGGCGGTGGTGCCGCTCCCTGATGTTGGTCATTGCCCGCATGATGACAGGCCAGAGATTGCTGCATCCCATATTTTGCCGTGGCTTGAGAAACTGGATGGTGATAGTTCAGCGTAGACAGAAGAATGGGAGAAAGTGGTACTGGTAGCAGCGATGTTTCCAGTATGTGAGCATTGTTGTAGTTGTCAAAATGTAAGTAGTTTTTCTGTTTTTCTGCTGTAAGCTTGCGTTGAACAATAAAATTGGTGTACTTGGGAAGGAGTGGAAGTTCAGACTTTATGTTCAGGTATTATTCTGACCGGCTTTTCGGGTGTGATTAATCGCGTCACGGTGCAACCGCCTTCTGTGGAGGATTCCTTCCTTGATCGGACGGCTTATATTCGATGACAATGTCTGCTGGCGTCTCGGATTCCATACTCCAACCAAACCCGTCCTTTCCCGCCATGAACTCTGCCAAATCACCAGCACCAGCTATCCGCCAACAACAGCCACAAGCGAACATGCCCACCCCACCCATCTGCACCGTGGGTTATAGAGCGAAGAGGTCCAGAAATAGGGGGCGAGTTCCCTTGCCTTCCAAAGAGGTTCAAAACTTTAAATATGTTTTTAGCTGGATACCGTGGCTTTACAGTGTGGTTGGCGTTCAAATCTTAGGACAAGGCAGTTGGCTCCTCCAGTTCCACTTACGCCCAGAAAACATGTTTTCCGCGTGGTCGCCTCGTTTTTATGCCGTGACTCCGCCTCATGCGGCGTCAACTATTCTCCCTAGTCACTGTTACCTGGCTCCTAAACAGATGCCAGCTGGGTAAGATTGGGAGAGATGATACTGCCTTACCCAGGTTCAACCCGTCTAGGTGCAAAGCCGTACGCCATATCATGTCATAGCAACACGATTCGCACATTTCCGAGTCCACCGCCACCAATGCCGTTGCACTGATGCTCGAACAGAGACGCTTTTTGGCGAGGGTGTCAGAAGCACTAATGTTCAATTCAGTACAGTACTACCTTCCCCCAATTCTAGCTTTCCGGTCGTCTCTGAACCTAAGGAAACTTCTGCCTCGTCAACCTAACCTGAATGAAGTGAACCACACCAGATCCATGCCTTCTCCACGCTCTTACGGCGTTTTTCGCATGTTTCTTGATCCACCAAGCGATAAGATGCAACAAGCTTCCTCTACATTTTCGGCGAGCTCTAGGAGAGACAGTGACCATTTATCCCCAGCGATGAAGCCATGTCACCGAATCGGGATTACAGGCTTGCGTTCGAAACTAGTACTCCACACCGCATGCAGCCTCCCCTGCAGCCTACTCCTGCCGCCAAAAGTTTGCCTGGTTTCTAGCGAGGGAGGGAGACACGGAGAACAAGGTAGAGCGGTGCTCTTACCCCCTGAGCGATACTGTACTACGGGGACCTCTGTAGCCTCCTCTCTCGTCGGACAAATGCATATAAAGGCATCGCCGTTTGAGTGATCACATATCTATCTGCAGATTCTTTATCTGCTGGTCCTAGCTGTCTATCGTTAGGACGAATCCATTGTTACCTCATCTTCATTCTCCGCTCCACTCTCTGGTTTCCCTTGCTTCCCTTTATTCCTCTCGAAGGCGAGACCCCTAAGTATCCCTCACGAGCACCATGGCTTCCTGGAAGAAACAGCTGCTCGCTCTTGTCTGCGTCGCAGCCTTAGCTTCCGTCGCATTTGCCACAGAATCAGAAGAACCCAATGTCGTAAGTGATTTGTTGGAGGTTGCGTGAGGCAACTTTGCCCCCAACATGATTGACTCGTATTTTCAGTCCGGATATTGTTCACGCAATGTTAGGGACGAAGCACGCTCACATACATTGTCTTTGTTTCTCTCTCCAATTGACAGCAACCTGATGACACCAAGACTCTCAATGCCAACAAGGCGGGTGCCATCTTCGTCTTTTTCGCGTGCAGCTTCATGGGCGTGTGGGTTCCGTACTTCATCCCCGTGCACCCACTCTTTCTCAAGTTCGGTATTCTCTTTTCCACCGGCCTGTTCATCGGCATGTCTCTCCTCTACCTCGCTGTGGAGACGTTTGAGGAGTTTGAAGAACTGGCAGGAGATGGTAAGTGCATGCTACCTTATACATTTTTTCTCTCGTACATTTCTGCTTAGTTGTCAATCACTTCTCACGAAAGGCTCAGAACTAAAAAGCACCTCGTTCTTTACGGTTGCAGACTATCCGTATGGCATGCTTGTCATCGTGATGGGCATTTACCTCACATGGTTGTGTGACCTTATCGTTAAGTCTGTGTGGATAAAGCGCACAGGCTCTCTTGAAGATAAGGTAAGCATAACGTTTACTACATTTCTCTTTTCAAAATTCAATGGCTGCATGCGTGGGGGTTCTGGATTCTTGGATCCTTCCATGAACACCTGAGTTGTTTTTGCTGTCAGGAGGACGAACTGGGACCGACCATTGCTGGAGCAATGGGCGTCGGGGAGCGGAAGGTGGTTGATGCTGACGCGGAAAACGCTGTCATCAAGGTTGACATTCAGGCCCTTACCATTGTCGACGTCATCCTCGTCCTCTTCGGCCTCTGCTTCCATGCTTTCTTCGAAGGCATTGCTGTCGGACTTGCGTCTACTGTCTCCAAAGTCTGGGCCATGACTGCACAAATCGGTGTGAATGAGGTAAGTTGGGACTTGAGAGCTGGTAGCCCAAACCCATTTCTTTGCGGTATTCAATGACAACGCTTTCTCTCGAATGTTGTATGCTCGATGCAAGTAAGCGACTAATTCTTTAATCCTCTGTGTGTTGGCAGTTTTTCGAGGGCATGGCCCTTGGTGTCACGCTTCGTGTACAGGACACACGCCGCAGTGGGCTTAACCACTTCTTGTATGCCTTAGGGGCTTCTATTGTTGCTCCTACTGGCATTGCCATTGGCTTGGCTCTTGACTCCGCCAGCGGCAAGGTGGCAAGGGAGTGGATTAAGGGGTTCGGAAATGGCATGGCCGCTGGAGTCTTCATCTTTATTGCCCTTGGCCATCTTCTCGCCAAGGGAATGAGGCCAGGACCCAAGGACTCGTGGTGGTTGGTTTTTGTCAAGTGGTTCGTTGCAGGCCTAGGCGTGATGACCAACGCACTGCTTCAGCTTTGGCACACCTAGTTCAGCAGCTTAGGTTATTGGGTATAGATGGGTAGGCTGCAAACAGGGTGTTCAATTCTGTGAATTACTTGATTCTGTGAAAGGCTAAGGGTTGTCGTTTTTAACAGGAGGAACAATTTTAACCTCATCTCAACTGCTCAGAAGAAGCTGATTGTTTTTGCACCCCAATCTTCCAAGGCTGTCAAGCTTGGAAAGGAAAAAAACTTAATTCAAATTACCGTGTCAGTTGATTGCAAGCTGAAACGAGCAACTGTAACCTGAGGATTATCGCTTTAGTCAAGACAACTGATCATGTGCGTCTCTCTTGAAGATAGAATTTAGTCGGCATTGCCTTGCCTAGTGAACTTGCAAGGTGTTATGGCCATGCCTACTAAACTGCAGTTAAAAACCTCTCAACACACAGGAGGAGCTCATCTTTCTTCCCACTGACTTTTCCTAGCTTGTGCAAGGTGATGAATGCTTTCAACCTTGGAAGGGTAATATCCTTCAGCTTCCCTTCTTTAAACTTACCCTTCACCTGAAAGAAAAACCATGAATGTTCTGTGGTACCCCATGCACCATGTTGAAACAATTCTGCAATGCTTACAAAGGTGGAGATGTCATCATCTTCGGGCTTTGCCTCTGGTTTCTTCTTGCCAGGAGTCTTTGATTGATTGGAAGAATCCAAAGCCTGCGTAGCACACACAATTTAGGGACATATGGATTCTAGCACTTGCTTGCAAACCCTTACCTTTCCAGGCATATGTGATGTCTTGGCTTTCTTCGGTGGTGGCTTATCTACATCCAACTGCCACAAGTGAAAGCATACAAGTACACGACACTAGGTTCATGATATTATGAAGCGACAGAAAATGCTTCCTTGCTCTCTGTTCCCCAACCACTCTCATTTCTCCTCACTGCCCTCAGGCTCCTACCAACTCGCACCAACATCCACTTTTTTTCCACACCTTCCTGTTTTTTGCTGCAGACACCGCTGGCTCCTTTTTCTCCTTTGTGGAGGCTGTCAAAAAAGCATTTCACAGTAATTATGCTGGGCACATTTTGTGGTATAAACCGGACAAGACAATGAAAGTGTACCAGCGGCAGATGACTGCTTCAACGAAGCATCCTTAGTGTTGAGAGTGGAAGACTTCGTTAGTTTTGATGATACCCCCGAAGAAGACGAACAGTTTGCTAAACAAAGAAAGGAAAGGATCAACTGGTCTAGCATTAAGAAACCACAAAGTGGGTGGTTGAGAGGTGCAGAGGAAGGGGAGGAGTGAGAGTTCAAAGGGGTACAGATCTAAATCTATATGTTTTTCAGAGAAGAAGAAACGTACCTGAACTGACTCGCTGCTTCCATGCTGTAAACGTGGGTATGGATAGCTTGACAACAGCTGGCACGGGTTCTGGTTTCTTTACCAACTCTGGTCTCTCCTCAGCTGGCTCGTCGTCATTCTTATCCGTTTGAATGTCACTGTGGACAGGTTTTGGTGGCTCGCGGATAATAGGGAGGGCGGGCTTTGGCCGTCGAAAGCCCGAAACTGTAGAAGAAATACTTAAACTTCGAATTCAAAACGTCATGAGCGTCAAAACAGTCAAGTTATTACGTGAAGGCCGAGAAAACACGAGGCTTCGGGCTGACAACGCATCAGCCGAGGATAATCCAGCAATCCCTTTAGCTGTTGTCCATGCGGTGGTTTGGACCATGACTGGCAACGAGCCCGCTTCTGTGTTCTGGCATTCATAATCCATGTAAGTGCTGGCAATAAAAACTGTGAAGCATGTGACTCTGCAAGGTTGCCGTACCTTAAATTGCACATTCCCAGCCCCAAAAAAAGTGAAGGAGAAATCAGATCCAATGCTCGCAAACATGGATTGCATCTCCCTTGATCGTATTGTTCCTGGGACTGGCATAAATCCAGCCTCAGTGAGGACACATGCGGAAGGCAGCCTGTACAAAACAAGTTAGGGACGAAACTTTATGTTTGAATGAAATGATGTGTTGTAACGTACCTCAGCCTTTCACCATGATCTAGTTTGATCGTCACAGTAAAAAAGTCGTCTCCAATCTCGATTCCTCTCTGCCAAACAATATTTTCGGGTGAGAGAGGTGTTAATACAGAAGGATGCGTCATTATGGTGCACCTTTCGCCAGTAGGTCCTGGATTCAGTGTTGGGACCAGAACTCGAATCGTCCTTAGAGCAACCTGCGACGAGAAACATTATGAGGTAATGCTCCTGGGGTGATTTTACATGGAAATGCTCATCTTACCGATAATTTGACCATGTTCAAGGTTTGGGATACAAAAGCAGCGAAATCGGGAAGACGTTTCTTCTAGTTGGGTATCCATCCACTCCTCTAAATCCACAGGTTTTCCTTGGGAAAACTTCTCTCTGAAGTCCGTTGGCAATACATCAATAATCTGCAACAATAAAAGGTGTCTCCAAGAATGAGCAAGCACACCGATGAGTAGTTGGCAACTTGCACGCAGTTCACAAACCTTCATGTGATGGAATTTGATGACGTCTGGCCGTAGGACCAAGACAATCTTGTTTGGAGTCTCCAAGTGCATGCTCTACAGCGCGATCTTATCAGCTTTATTCAACCAGCGTGACACAACTCTGAATGAACGCAGCTCACCAGTCTGACGGAGTGCGCGGGTGTATTATCGTCGCCACACCTGAGATTCGAAAGCAAATACAAGCCATTCTTGCAAGCTGACCAGCCTTTGCCAATTAGGGAGCCCTCGCAGAGTTTTTCCAAGCAGCTCCGAAGCACCTCGTGGTCCACTACGTCATCAACCTTCTTGTTCACTGATATCTGTGACCGGGATAAGGTCAGTTCGACGACATGAAACTCGCGGAGCAACAACCGCCATGAGATCACTCACATTCATTGATTTCTTCTCTTTCTTCAGAGTTTTCTTGACGGCCTTCTTCATCGAATCCTAAGACATTTATTATTCCGGGTCAGGAGGGTTGGCCGAGGAGAGACGAACGTGCAAATTCCGTTACGTACAGTGCATATCACATCCAGCACTGAATCTTCAACGATCTCTATGGCAACGTCAGGTCCTACTAGGAGATCCAGAAGTCGTTCTTTCAATGCTTGTGTTTGGGGACCTTTCTGTGTTTGCTCCTCATCGTCACCCTCCTCTCCCTTCAGCTTCACTTGCAACCTCTTCAAGCTATCAAACGATACTGGAGCTAGGCCGACAACAACAAGCTGATCAGCCATTGTTGGACCCAACTGATCAGCAGAAACAAAAGCAAGGGGAGAGATTGAACGAAAGCGGTAGTGAAGACACTGAATCTTGGTGTTTCGTTTCTGGGTGGGCGTGAAGAGTAGGACGTGCTACAAATTGTACGTTCGTTCGTGCTTCACAATCGATCGCAAAACGATCGCGCTGGTAACCTCAGTGACATCCGGCTACAGTACTCAGACAGTGTGTTTAGCGAACACCTCTATTTCGTCAGGAAAACTGGCACCAAACTACCGTTCTGTGAGTTGCGAGATGGCTCTCTTCGTCGGGATGGTTGCCAGGTGTGTAACGAAAATCTACCGTGATGGCATTACCCACCCTTTTTTTCCCAGGGCGCTTCGCGACTTGGTTTGTGTGCCAGACTTGGTATTTGCACAGCCTGCAAATCGACCTTAACCAGTATCGGATGAAATGGTGTAAAGGTTCAGTGTTCCGAACTGATCCCGGGAATATTCTAATTGGAACATCTCCTCAGCTCGTAACAATCTAGGTTTGCACTCGAATTGACCAGGCTTTCGGACTACGTCACACAACGCTTTTCCGCAGCCTACAACAGCTTAGCTTCATCATTTTCCAGAAGTTAGTTCGCATGCGCACCAACCCAGGCCCAGTTCAAGGGCATTAGCGAACGCCCACTCCAAAGGTATCCACCTTCTTTTTCTTGGTGATCTATGGCACTTGTTCCGCGCTCGCGAGAGATCGCGGAGAGCTGCCTAGATTTTCTCAACATTGAGCTCGTTGCGACGTATGCGCGGCAGTCCAACTTGCGACCAGAGCTCGCCGGTCGTCGGATCGAGGCGATTGGCTTTCAAGTGGGTCAACAACTAGTAGAGAGGTAAGTGGCCTCAATGATGCTGTGAACGAAGTTTAGCGGCCAAAGCGAAGTGTGAAACCTTATCGCGGCTGCAGTTCGCTAGACAACCATGGGGGTCGCAAGCGTATCTGACGGGTGGTCATTTGTCAGCGTAAGACATGAAGGCCAGTTACTGGGCACGGTGCGAGTGGATGGTCGGAGATGGTTTGTATATTCACATGTTTTATTCCCCCTAGTTGATGCAACCTCTCAGATTTCCTCACGTTCTTCCGAGTCCTGCAAATCTCGTTCCAACCCACCCTTATTCCAGGTTTACCAAGGACAGAGCCCGATTCACAGACCACTTGGATGTGATAAAGTTCATCTGCAAGGACTTTTGGGCCGAGGTGTTCAAGAAGCAAGTGGACAACCTCAAGACCAACCACAGAGTGAGAACAAGGCGCATGGTCAGCAGCAGCAAGGCATATTTGGCAGAGGTTGCAAGCTTTAGCCGATACAGGGACAGACCGGATAGTTGGGTAGTGAGGTGCAAGACATTAGGTGGACAGTAACGGAGAGAACAAAGCACAGTCATTACGGGAACAGTGCAAAGTTGCACTTGTAGTAAGACACCAGCACTGCAGGTAAAATGCCCTTGTGATCCTATGCAGAACGCATAGTCGATCTAGATTGCAACAAACAGTCAGCTCAGGTCATAAGACTAATGTCTGCCCTCTGCACAGTCAGCCGACAGCAGTGCATACTTGGTACAGGGTAGGAGGCACAGGCAGAGTCTCGGCGCACAAACGTTATGGGTGCAATGCAATGCATGATCAGCAGTGCGCGTTGCTGTCTTGCTGAGTTGCTGAGGAAGCTGTTGAATACCCCTGTGTCAGCCATGGCTGAAACTTTAGTCCCATCAATTTTCCCCTATCCTGTGTTATTCTCGGGCTTGCTACTCTGTTTTCTTTGCATATGCCTGGCTCAAGCTTAACCTATCCCCCCTTCCCTTGCGACCTTTCGTTACCCTTCCAGGGAGTTTTCGTTCTGCAAGACAACAAGTTCAGATGGCTCACGAGAATATCAGCAGATGCTCCATCATATGATGCATTAACGCCTCTTCCAAACCCTAGTCCCAACCTTCGATCGCCGACGGAGCGCATGGCAGGAGCTGGAGGGGCAGTGGCGGGCAGCATGAAGGCGTCTGCTGTTGCAGGGCAGTTTCTGTATCTGCCATGTGGGCTTATAAAGGGGGCGCTTACCAACCTTGGAGTACCATGCACAGTCTCGGCAGAAGTCACTACACTTCCTGGGTGTAAGTGCAATAGCATTGCTGACACTTTGATGAAGTGATTTGGATCGTCAACGGCGTGAGTGAGGTGTGTGCTGGGTGTGATGTGACTCCATGGTGTGTGTTGGATGTTGTGGATTTCAATGTGGATTAGGTTTCAAGAAATTGACTTGAATGTGTCTGAAACCTCTTTTTTTCCACGTCCCTTTCTGCCCTTGTCAGGTTCGTTCACAGTAAGGATCAAGTCATGAGCACTACCTAGAGAATGCATGTGCGGACCTTTTTTTAAAATTCGTATTATTCTCATTCATTCTGGTTGCTAGTTAATCATCTACATGGTTGTATCATGAGTGAAGCTGTTGCTATAAACCAACACGAGAAGTATACGTACTTTTTCTGGAACCAGTGTTTTCAAGGGAGGACGGTAATAACGAGGCACAAGTGCGTCCTCCAGTCGAGAAATATGTTGCATAGGGCTTCCCTTGGGATTAGCTTGAATTGGCCATCCGTATTGAATCTCGAGGGCTTCACGCACTACTAGTTCCTGTCATTCATAACAGCTCAAGGGCTTCACGACGAATTCCTGTCATTGATAACACGGAGTCCAGCACATCCGCATTCACGAAGCCATCTCATTGGTGAAGTACGGGGTGGGCTTCAACATCGCATTCAGCTTGTTTTGAAGGGAGCTTGGTTTCATTGGTGGAGGAGATGATGGCCGAAGCAAGATCCAAGGATGTCGCAACACCGCAGATTTCTGGGCATCAGTCATCTCTAGAAAAGCTTCGAGTAGTTTGGGTTGTCATCGGTTACGCGCTAAGTTCCAGTTTGCTGGCCATTGTGAACAAGGTATGCCTCCCTAACGATTTCAGTACCTCTTGTTGCTCTCTGAAAAGCGTCTAACCAATACGTTTCCAGTATGCAGTGACTGTTTTTCCCTTTCCGGCAATTCTCACCGCGCTTCAGTACCTAGTGTGCACCATTGTTACGCTCGTGATGGGAAGATCGAAGGTGTTGGAGCATGATCCTCTCAGCCTGGAAAAGATTGTCAAGTTCTTACCAGCAGCAGCGACGTTTTACGTTGCCATATGGACAAATACTCAGCTCCTCAAACATGCCAACGTCGAGACATTCATTGTGTTCAGATCTTCTACACCGCTGCTTGTTGCGATGGCAGACTCGGTGTTCATGGGAAGATCATGGCCATCTGGTTTCACATTTTTGTCCTTGCTGACGATATTTGGTGGCGCTGTTGGCTACGTCTTCTTTGACACTGGATTCACTGTCACAGCGTACGCGTGGGCTTGGGCATATCTGATCGTCATTACCTTCGAGGTGAGTGTCTCTGCTCTGCTTTCATTACCCAATGGAATTGCGTCGCCTTGTTCTTTATCGAGCTTTTGGTGCAGATGGTCTACATCAAGTCAGTCGTTATGAGCATAGGGCTCAATACATGGGGTCTGGTGCTTTACAACAATATGCTAGCCCTGGTAAGACTCGGTGCACCACAATCGTGAAATTGAGCTCTCCACATCCTTGCTAATACTCTTATGTGATACGTTGTGCAGATATTCTTCCCTCCTGCACTGATTGGTATGAATGAGCCAAGTCAAATTGCTGCCTATGGTCTGTCCCGGATATTCAGCATAGGAACTCTCTTCCCTGTTGCACTCTCCTGCATTTTCGGCCTAACCATAAGCTTCTTCGGCTTTGCTGCACGGAAGGCAGTCTCAGCAACTGCTTACACTGTTGTTGGAGTCACAAACAAGCTTCTCACTGTCCTCATTAACATACTGATATGGGATAAGCATGCCCAAGCGCCAGGATTAGTGGCCCTCCTCGTGTGCATATTTGGTGGAGTCTTATACCAGCAATCAGTTACCCAAACGCAGCCAACAAAGACCATCCCAGCTGACATCGAGTCTGTCCCTCTGAAGAGCATGAAGTCAGAATCTGGTGATGGCAAGCCTGTTGTACGAGTTCAGTCTGCTGAGGCAGCTTCAGAAGAATAGTGGATGGCAGAAAAGGTGGATCTCAGACTGTTTGTGTTGGGAGTACGGTAGATGTACCATAGTGCAATGTACCAGTCTCAGTTTTTACATGCTCCATAATGTTATATGATAAAGCTTCAAGATCACAGTACCATACATGGTAGGGCGGCTCTGACCTGAGCCCCAAATAGCTTCAGGTTGCTTCAAGCTTTACAACAGGCTTAAGTCTCAAGCTCTTCCACACACTGTTATTTATAACTTGAAACAGTAACACAAACAAGAACACCACAGCAACAATCTGTCTAAAACAACATACCGGTACTACTAACACAAGGAAAATCACAAAGATGTGGGGAGAAACAAGTCGATTGAGGTATACCTTACCGTATATGACACAAGTGATGCACTCCTCCACACGTCACCCTGTCTTGGTGCAGGAGCACTGGCAGCTCATGGGGTTGCTGCCACTGGCACAGTTGCAATCGCACCTCATCTTCACGCTGCCTCCAGTCGGCGGAGGTGGAGGTGGAGTTCCCCCCCCGCCACCACCAGCACTAGGCAGGGCGTTCTGCAGGACGCACTTGCTCTTCACGCGGTCCCAGTTGAGCTGCACCAGGAACTTCATCCCATTCAGCCCCACCACATTGTACTCGTAGCTGTGCCCGTTCTGCTGGTAACCAGTCTTAGTGTTGCCATACTCCCACGAGCACTTGTCTGCGTTCTCCTCGCCGTCGTCGCCAAACCACCCCGCATTCACATCCGGGTCGGTGGCAGCTTCTGTGAGCTCATGCACGAGCGTGGAGATAGTAGCGTCAATACCCGGCTTCCCGTTGGGTGACGTGCTCTCTACCCCGCACGCGTCGGGGCACTGTCCATGGTGCCCCACAAAGGCGTAGCGAAGAGGCGAGGAGTTGAGGGAGTCTTCAGTGTGCCAGCCGCAGTACTCTGAGCAGAAGCCTGAGAGCGTGACATCGGCACTGGTGAGCAGCACGTAGATTCCGTGGGGGTCCAGCGCCCATGGCTTGCCCGCACCGGCCTTGCTCTTCACGACTGCATGAGCGGCACAGGACGAGTGATCGGCGAAGGGGAGCAGGAGGGGATGTGATAAGGAATGGATACACCCATGCAGGGTGCAATGGCACACGGGGAACGAGTGGTCAGGAGCAACACGTACTGGGTCAACTCAAAAAGGAATGATTGGCCAGGAGGGAGCAGCAAGTACTGGCAGGCACATCATTGTCTGTCAGCTGTTTTGAGTCGAGTCAAAACGGAATGGGTGGTCGGGAGGGAGCAGCACGTACTAGCGAGCACGTCATTGTCTGTCAGCTGCTTTCCGCGCGAATAGTTGTCGCTTACTGTGCCTGCCAGACGAACCTGCAATCAAGGCCAGGAAGAACAGCGATGGCAGGCGGCATGAGGATCGTGCATGAGGGAATGAACGAATGGCGCAGCGCAGGTGAATGGCCAAACCCCATGAAGCGCAGCACTTTTGGGGAATTTCAAACGCAGTGCAGTGCAGTTTTGAGAACAAAGGAATGAACGAGGGTGCAGTGCAGCAGTGGAGAGGAGTGTCTTGCTCCTGAAACACCTCCATCTCTCACCTTGGAGCTCACGTTCTTCTTCCCCCCAGAGCCAGACTGGTAATAAGCAGCAGTTGTCGCCCACCACCCCTTCACACTCGCGTCCGCCGCGCTGCCTTGGCTGCCCGAGTCGCTGCTCAGCGCCTGCACGAACGTGTCTATGATCTCCCTGCCCGACCCCGACCCCCAGCTGCCGTAGTAGATGTGGTAAACGTTCACCGTCGGATTTCCCACGATCACCGGCCCTCCGTGGTACTTGATTGGTGGCGCGCTTGCAGCCGGGATGACGGCAGCGGCGGCGGCGGTGGCGGCGTGGGAGGCGCCGTCAGTGACGGAGGATCGGACGACGGGAAAGCCGACGGCTGAAACGGTCGCGCCGCCACCGAAGCCGCCGCGAAGGACGGAGGTGGAGGCGGGCTGGTGGTGGTGCTGCCGCTGGTGCCGTCGCGGCTGGTGCTGCTGTCGGCGCTGCATCAGCTGTGCGTGCGCGGGGCGTGTTAGAGATACGCGCTTCTTCGGGCCGGCGATCGACTCCGATTCGGCCGGTCGAAGCGCGCCGGAGACGAGAAGCAGGAGGAGCGCGAGGCGAAGAGCAGGGGAGTGAGTCGCGAATTTCGCCGCCATGCTGGCGAATGTCGTCGAATGGCGAATGGAATGTCGTCGAGAGGCGCCGCAAGTCAATAACATCCGTTTACTACATTCCACTCAATGTAGCTTTGTTTACTACAGGCGCTCGAAGGTGTTGTGCTGATAGAAGAAGATGCCGCGGCCAGGCATGCTTAAGTACATTATTAGTACCCGCAACCACGACCCGTGCAATGCCCGAAGCGCGGCGGCGCCAATCAGACAGGTAGTAGTAACGGATTGCTCGGCGGATAGTAACGGTCAAGCGCGCGGTTGCGAGTCGCTGCAGCCATCGCCGCAGTGGCTGCGCAACACTCATCGTGGAATCTCCTCGTGAAAGTGCGGCGCGGTTCGGTTTGGTCTCGCTCGGAAGTCCGACTGTCCGACGGATGGCTGGCGGATGAAACGCGAAGAAAAAAAGCATTCACATGGCAGCTGCTGGCAACCTGCCTTTTGAAAAGGCTCTCCAATTAAACGTCCTCCATTCGCCGTGTTTCCGCCGGTCCCTCGTCGCCACTTGCTGCCGAGCGTGGCACGACGACCGTGCTCGGACTCGGCAATGGCTGTGTCGCGTAACGCTTATTTCTGCATGCGAGTGCAGAGCAGACATGGAATGGAATGGAATAAAGAGCTGAAAAACACGGCACGCACGAATGAGCAACTGCTACAGTAGGTAGGAAGAAGTGCAGATCAGGCGAAGGGACGGGGAGTGGGGCTTGATGGGATGGGGTGGGACTTCTTTGCGAAAGCCAATTGCGAACAGGTGGAGGGTGGGACATGGCTGTTCGCGATCGGCTTCAGGTAACCATTCGGAAGCGGGTGGAACATTTTGGCATTTTGCCAGTTATGAGTGGGGTGGATGTACGCGCTTCTTGTGTACTCAACAACATGTACGTAGAGACTTGGTGCTAATGTCTCGTCTATACCATAGGTGCATGAGTCTGGCAGCACTACTATTGAGACAAACGGACCTGCTCGTTTGGCCTTGTGTTGATTAACTTGACAAACATTAGATGGTAATACTTGATTTTCAGCATACCCACGGGAATTTGCTTTAGGGTTCACATGGTTGTGAATACATAAATGCTTACCATACTTTGGGCAGCTGTGGAGGTTCGGTACGGATGTCTAATGTGGGAGAGTAAAGCAGATGAAATGGACATCTAACCAACATCCGACGCCCTCCTCCTGACTGTATTGCGTCACACTCTGGAAGCATTGCTCATGAGCAGCGCTGATTTTATTGGAGGTCTGGATGGAGCGGAGGAGAGACGTGAGGGCTTGGGGGAGGGAGAGAACCAGGTGGCCGGAGGAATGGAAAGGCAAGGCGAGAGGAACAGGCAGGCTGAGGAACGCGGAAATACGGTAGAAACCCACCAGCACCACCATCACCACCACTTCGCCCAGACTTCCCGGCAACTGTTGTTGAATTCCACGCTCAACAATACGGAGAATACGTGTTCTCGTGCATAGGACGAAGTTGATAATGGAGGGATGGTCCTTGGTGCCAAACCAAGTTGATGAGGCCCATACAGCCGGTGGAAGGAAGAACTGATAGGTGTGCCTTGGAAAGCCGGGATTCAGCGGAAGGAGGTGCATTGGAGCAAGGATGTGCACAAGAGAGAACACTTCAGGGAGGTGAAGGTGGAGTCAGGGAGAGGTGAAGTAGACAGAACAGCAGCAATGACATCAAGTAATGAAAACGAAATGATGTCTGTGAAGCAGTGGCTCATATAAGCCGAATAGATCAGAGGAACATATTTACAAGGAGGACAGCCGAGAGGTGGAATGCACATGACATGACCCCGGTTGCCTAAAAGAGGCAACTGCATGGAAACGCCATGCCAGCCGGCTTATAAATCCGTCGGCCCAGCCATCTCTTCATCGCTGGAAGCATCGTTGTCCTCATAGTCGCTCAAATCTTCACTGTCATCATCGTCAGAGTCCGCCTTGTGCTTTCTGACTAAATCCTCCGCCTTGCCGTATCGTAGGCAGTATTCTGCAGGAAATGAGGGAGGAAAAGATGGTAAAAAAGCCGTTCATTACAGAATGGTGTGAATCACTAGTAGGGAACGAGTTGGTTCCAATCCCCTTTCTATGCCATGGCACGAATTCGTAGAGAGAGAGAGAGAGAGAGAGAGAGAGAGAGAGAGAGAGAGAGAGAGAGAGAGAGAGAGAGAGAGAGGAAGATAGGGAGGAACAGAGGTCAAGACACTACCTTTCACTTTCTGCTTGTATTGCTCTGGGTCTCGCATGAGCATGGCCGCGGCTTCGCCATTCAGAGGATCAGTTGGATTTGGGTACAGCAGCAGCTGTGGAAGGAACACCTCGAACACGTTGATCAAATCTGCGGTGACGAAACGATGGGTAGGAAGGATGGGTAGCGTGAACGGTAATAGGAGAGACGACTGGAGAGACAGATTGAGACGATTAGCGAGACGAATGAGGAGAACAATAAGGTAAGCTTTGCAACTGGAAATGAGAAAATGGATGGATGGGGGGAGAACCGATGGCCGAGATGAGTTACGGTATGCACATCACGCACCGAACATTGGACTCCATGTTTGATTGATGACGTCTAGGCATACCGAGCCAGACCTGGAAAACGCCGACGCATACACGAAATACGCGTTAGTCGCGCGCTGCTCTACTCACACTGCGGGACGAGAATGAGATTTTTTTTTTTTTTTTTTTTTTTTTTTGGGCTTTAAGGAGATCCCCGGAGGAAGGGACGAGAATGAGAAGCCTGTCGACGGCGAGAAGAACAAGAACTCACGATTCGTCGACGTTAGGGTGGAAAATCCGATTAATGAATCCAATCGATGGAGACTTGTAGGGATACGCATCAGGGAGTTCAACGTGGACTTTCCAGACGCCTCCCTCATACGGACCTGCCGACGTTGGGTTTGTAAACAAAGTGAGAAGAATCCGACGAACAGCCGAACGAGCAGCAGGACCTAGAAAGGCGGAGAAAAGCTTACTCTCTTTAGGTCCGTGAAAGTAGACGTTGAACTCGATCATACTGTCGTTTATAAGCTCGACTTTATAATCACTCATCATCCTGCACTATCAGAGAACAACCGAAGTCAAATCCTGCTGCTGAACCGGGAAACCCTAATATGACTCTCGATAAACTCCAACCACCAACTCACAGCTTCATCACATCCATCTCCCTGCGCTTGTTCGGCGTCGACATGGCGGCGGAACCTAGAAAACGTACTCCTTCACTCAGCGGCTTTCACGGATGGCTGCTCTAGGTGAACAAGGCTTATCAGAGCAGCTCAGAAACAGCAACCAGCAATCAAAGCCTGAAGTCTGAGGTCGGATGATTCGTGTGATGAGTGGTCCCTGTTGTTGCGTGTAATGATGGCTGGAGGAAAAGCAAAATTTGGGTTGAATTGGGTTCGGTTCGGTTAGGAAACTCATATTCTTCAGGAAGTTGTGGGTGGGGTGCCTTATGGCCTCATGGTAATTTACCCTGTTATGGCTTTTACAGTGTAGAGGTGATGCTCTATGCAACCCAAAATGTTTTAGAAACCAATACTGAACCATACCTTATTACACGACAACCAATCAACTTCTACACACCTTGCTGCGCTTACCACTAACCTGCATCCACCACAAGGTACCCAGGCTGGAGCAGGCAAAACCAAAGCCTTCTGGTTTGATGAGACCACACCATGGTTTCACTGGCTGCACACATGCGCTGCTAGCTTTATCAATGAAAACTTTCATGAAAATATTCCATATCACAGAACAGAATCATCAATTACAGTTTACTTAGAAGTCCTTGAACGCATTCCCAGGATTTTCCCCATCAATATTGATATGCTCAGGGAAGTCCCATGGCATGCTCTCTTGCACCAAAGGCGGCGTCCAATCTGCACTTGATTGGAGAAGCGATGACAGCTGCTCGAACAACACCTTGTTTCCCCCAGGAGCCAAGTGAAGCCCGTCACTGGAAAGTGGAGGGAACAGAAAAGGGACACAAAAGGATTATGGGTGTACAGGGGTGAAGTGAATTTGGACACTGTAGTGTGAAAACAGAAAGGAACATGAGAAAAACAAGTTCATATGGGTCAAACAGGGGAAGGTGGAACACGAGAGACATGACAAACTGGCTACACAGGAGAGAGACTTAAAAAGAAGGTGGGATGAGAACAGACTACTACCTGCAACCACCTAGTATTCCATTAAAAAAAATCTTAACGAAACTGACTGGTACTACCATCAGCTTTTCCGTTGGAAATCCACCACATGACGAGCACACACGCATTTGTGTGTGTGTGTGTGTGTGTGTGTGTGTGTGTGTGTGTGTGTGTGTGTGTGTGTGTGTGTGTGTGTGTCCGTGCTATCCTGAGCAGGGCCTGCCAGGTGGGTTGTTGCTGCAGCACGGTCCAGAGGTCAATGAGAGGCACACCCCCACACCCCTCTGCCACCTCCCTCTGTCCCCGCATACCTCGCTCAGCACAAGACTGTCTGTGTGTGTGCGCGTGCATGTGTGCATGTGCCCATGCCTGACCTTAGCAGGGAGTGCCAGGTGGGTTGTTGCTGCAGCACGGTCCAGAGGTCAATCACAGGCACGCCCCCACACGCCTCTGCCACCTCCCCCACCGCTGCTGCATACTTGCCCGTCACCACATTCTTCAGACACTGCTCACCGCATCTTTAAACAGGGAGTCAATCAGTTTACTGCAAGCATCCAGCCTCATCCAAAGGGGGTGGAATGATGACGACGAGGCAGGGGCCGTTGTAACTTGACATGAGAACAGTGCAGTCTCGAAGGGAGTGCCATGCATCAAGGAGAAAACTACTCTAATAGTGTATAAGCAGGGACTCACTTGGCGTACTCCAGGTGACCAGCCTCGTCCACAGGGGGTGGAGTGATGAGCACGATGCAGGGGGTTGATTTTGACACGGCATGAGAAGACAGCAGACTCCAAGGGAATGATGAACCGGCTTACATATCAACGAGAGAAGGAAACCCTCTACGGTTTCAATCAGGGGACTCACTTGGCGAACTCCATGCGACCAGCCTCGTCCACAGGAGGGGGGGTGATGAGCACCACATGCACGTTTGGACCTAGCGACTGCATGGGACAGAGGGAAATTGCCAGAGGGAGGATTGGGATGGCGGGGAGAGCATGAAGCAAAGAGGAGGGAGCAGTGAGAAGAACCAGACGTGTGTCGGGACCCATCGACAGAAGTGTTTTAAGGGGGAACAAGGGGGCGGGTGGTGGGAGGGAAGATGAGCAGGAGAGCTGGGGCATTGATGGAGTAGGTGGGACGTATCGTGCATGCAGGTACATGTATATGCAGGTATTTGCATAGAAATTATGCAACTAACCGTATATATTTATATATATATATTGTTTTTTGGTACATATCACAGCCAAAAAATAGAAAAGCGAATTGCACCTGCAGGTGAGTGACTATGACTCGCAGGTTCTCCTTGAACTCTGGGATCGGCACATGCTGCTTGCCGCTCCTTCTCCCTGGCAGTGCGGCATCATTGGCGCCAAAGAAGACAGTCACCAGGGCGGGGGGGGGAATCGACGTGTCACCCTGATGTGCATGGATGCAAGGTGTGGAAATCAGGTAGGAGGAAGTTGCAGCACACACTGATTCACACTGTGCACGGTGCCGTGCTGCTTGCCGCACTGCTTCTCCCTAACAGCGCTGCATCGTTGGCACCAAAGAAGACAGTCACCAGGGCGGGAGGTGGAATCGACGTGTCACCCTGATGTGCATGGATGCAGGGATATGGACAGGGGGATGATGGGAGGGCGTTGCCGTCCACATCACACAATGCGCTGATGAACGGTGGATGATGAACCACAAATCAACCTAGTAAATCCTCACCATCGAAAAGTGTCACCTTGGGAAAGAGCTTGGGCAAAAGAAAGAGTGCCCAGCGTGTGTTGTACCCGCTGTAGCCCCGTAACACCACATCCACCTGCACACAGCACAGCAGCAAGAGCACAGTGTGCGACAACTGAGTTTGTATCCTCTCTACGGCTTTAGCCCCATCACACCACGTCCACCTGCAAACAGCACAGCAAGTGCACTGAGCAATGTGAAGGCAGGGCATTGGTGTTTGGAGTCACAGTGTGTGGCAACTTGCATTGTTGTGTGTACCCCATCAATGGTTGTAACCCAGACACACCTAGTCCATGTGCAAGCGTGAGAATAGAAGCGACCGCAAAGTCAGGGTGCTGTATTCATTGCATTCGTGTTCCAGCACCCCGTCTTGCAGGCTGTTCACCTTACGGGCTTTGAGACGTCTCAAAACTCGATTTTGAGACGTAGCAAAGTTCATTGCACTTGTGTTCCATCACCCCTTCTTGCAGAGGGTTCACCTTACGCGCATACAGGCTCTGCAGAGCTGCCCCCCACCCGCCATCGCCATACGACCTTTGAGTGAGCGATTCACCGAACAGCACAAAGGCAGGCCGGGACCAACGTGATGCTTGCAGTGGCGACATCCCCCCACGCCCAGCTGCCACTGTTGCTGATGGCAATGCCTCTGGTGGAATTTTCTCTAGTAACGATGATGATGGTAATGGCAATGCTGACCCCTTGTCTTGGGCCGTCCTTCGCCCCACTAGTGCACCTCGTGACAGAGCAGCACTCTGCCCTGCCATAGGCTGCGTGCTCTCCTCCCATGCTGCTGCTCGCTCCCTTTCTTTAATAGACAGAGTCCTCCTTTCCTCACGTGCACCCGCCCTCTTTCTCCCTTCACTTGACTGAGTACTCTCTTCCTGTGCTGCTGCTACCTCCCTCCCTTCGCTTGACAGAGCGTAATTCTCCTCTGGTGAATCCAGGGAGGTTGAATCAGGGGAAGGGTGACCAGGTGCGGGTAGATGTGCGGGGGGGTGATGAGGGGGGTGACGAGGGGGGTAGATCTGCTGCTGCTGATGATGCTGATGATGGTGCTGGTGCTGCTCATAGTAGAGCTTCTGTTGCTGCTGCTGGCTTGAACTGAACCAGCGCCGCATATTGAATTTGTGAGAGAAAGAAGTCGTGGGAAAAGGCTGGAAAGGAGCCTGGTATGAGGGCAGACGGGGAGGCAGCGGTAATAGGAGGAATAGTAAGGGGAGGGAGAGCAGCTGAGAGAGCAGAGCTCCGAGGATGAAGGAGGCGAGGGGGGAGCGGAAGGAGAAGCGGATGGAAGGAGGGAGCAGGGAGGTGGGTCGACGGAGAGAAGCAAGAGACGATGGTACAGAGTTCTTTTGAGTCGGACTGTGGAAGAGGGATCGTGGGGAGGCGGAGTGGAGGAAGGGATGGGAGCGCGTGGGTCTGTTGGGTCTCTCTTTCGTGTGAGACTGGTGAGAATGGTGCGACTGGTGCTCCAGCTTATGCTGCTGTTGCTCCTGCTGCGGAAGGTGCTGCTGATGCTTCGGATAATGTTGTTGCTGCTGCTGCTGCTGCTGCTGGAAATGAAACGGCGGCGGCTGCTGCTGCTGCTGTGAGGGAAGGGAGGAAGGACCTTCAGGCGAGCGGGGAGCTCGGTGGTGCAGCATGGACGACGGGGAGCCAGCAGTCATGAGGTGAGAAGGAGATGCGTCGGTGGTAGCAGGTCTTGATCTGGCAGGTGGCTGGGTACTAGCCATTCCGTCGCAGTGAACACTGAAAGGGAATTGAATTCGCTGAGTCGTCGGATTCCTACCCGAGAGTCTGGCCTCTGTCGGTCATGCTACAGCGTCGATTAGAGCACGGATTCGCTGAGCCGTCGACTGGAGTACGGATCCGTTGGGCGCCGTCGATTGGATCACGGATCTGCTGGGCCGTTGATCTTTTTTCTTCAAGGGGTGTCACGAAGGGAATCAATGGAGGAGGAGGCAGAGGCTCACCTTGCGCGCGTACTGATTCTGCAGCGCTGCTCCCCACCCGCCTTCGCTGAACGAGTGCTGCGTCAACGAGTCGCCGAACAGCACGAACGCCGGACGAATGCGAGCCATTCCGCGGAGATCGTCTTATTACTAGTGTGACGGGGACTCAGTTTACGGGAAGAGAATTCTCAGCCGTAGATTAACTGAATTTTCACTGAAGATGAGATTATGGAGCTGACCGCTACGTTGGTGATGCTGCTTGCCTCTTTACCACAGCTGATCTTGGAAGTTAGAAGTTGGAACTTCCTCTTTGACGTCCGTACGATACAGTGATTACAATCTGTGGTACGAGGTAGCGAACCGAAGGCAGGGACACTGAAAATCGAAGAGTCGCGAGGCGGGTTCACGCGAAAAGATTATGCGAAGGCTAACGTGAATCCTACTACGAGCGGAGAATGCGAATGCAGTCCGACGGATAAGTCTCAGTTCAACTGGATGGGCTCCTTGAGTGAGCTCGACGAACAAATAGACTTCAGCCCAACAGGAGATCGATCGAGCGGAGTTCTCGGTGCATTCCGGGACTCTTAATCCAGCCTGCAGTTGTCTGTGCAGCAAGAAAGGTGACCGTTGGGCGGCGTGTGGTGTCAGCCTGTCAGGGAGACTGGTGGTGTGTGAACCAGGTGTTTCACAGTAACTAAATAAAATTGACAAAATAGAAATGTTCGGGTAAGATTGGAGGATGATGTTCGCGAGGCGTACGAAGGTAGTCCAACGATTCTCGGGAACAAAACCAGACGGAACAAGGTTGGTTGGTTTGTCAGGACCTTCGCCTGCAACGCTCACGTCCCCGAACTTCTGCGAAGGTTGGTTCGTCAGGGGGCCTTCGCCTGCGACGTTTTTGCCCCCATTCTTAAGGCAAGCGAAGAATGTGGAAACTACAAGAGGCTCGTTCAAACGCGATTCAATAAGGTGCTTCTTGGTTGGGTAGGGCACTGAGCGAAAGTGAATGTTCCGCAAACTCCCTGCACTCATCACTCACCCCTCGGGCACTCACCACCCAGCCAACACTCATCTTGACGTAATTACAGTGCTCCATTTTCGTTTCCATTTCGCCTTATTCCCGCGTTTCGTCATGTTCGCGCCGCGGCAACAGCGTTGAATAATGAAGTAGATAGCGCACCTGCAGACAGAACCGAAACCGTAGACGCACGCACGGTCTTGCAGGCTGCTCGGATCGACAGGCCGCAACGACGCGGCTTATGTAAGGTAAGCCGGCTTGTCGTCGCGTGGAGAACAGATTGCCTAGGAAGGCGATTTTTAAGCGCTTAGGATATCGTAAACTGGAGTGTCGTAGGCCGCGCCGCTTTCAGCATGGCACGGTCCTGCTCACTGCTTCTCTCCTCTCCTCTTTCTCGCTTACCATCAGGTAGTGTCAACGCGAGCGGACTCCGCTCGACATCAAGGCGACTCGACAAAGTAGCTACCGCACATTTGCGGGACTCGTTGGACGGACGGGCTGCTGAAGCTGTGGAGTGTGAAGGGCTGGGAGTGTGGGAACACGTTCGACGAGAACGAGGATAAGGTATGAAGGGGAAACCATAATAGAGGCCTAGCTGGGAGGCTATGTTCTGAGGTGCCTCCGCCCCAACCCCCTCCTGACCGGAGCGCATTGCGAGCAGTGCTGGTGGAACATCATCTGAAGAAGACACACAAGGCGCGCAACACAGCCTCTTAGGCAACCTTAACAGACAAACGTTCTCGTGCGTCCCATCTTCTCCCTCTCCCTGTTCTCCTACACTGATGCCTTTCCCTGCCCTGCCTTGTCCTGTCCTGCTCCCTGCCGCCCGCCCTGTCCTGTCCTGCTTCCCGCCGCCCGCCCTGTCCTGTCCTGCTCCCCACCGCCTGCGTTGTCCCATCCTGCTCCCCTACAGCAGAGGCAGTGGAGCAGGAGCAAGCGGCAAGCGCCTGGTGCAGATGTTGGAAAAAACGCTCAGGGAAAAAAAACGAGTCCCGTATATTCGTTAGCGTATATAAGAAGATTCGTGATACGCTCCAAAATACGTGGTACGCTGGGTCGGGCAGCCCGGAAAAAAGATTCGCGTTCAAATTTCACGATTTCGCAACGCACGAACTCAAATGTCGAATGCAACCACGTTTCCCCTACCAATGTCACAGAGCCTCACAAGCAACTGACTACTCGTAGCAAGAGGCGCTCAAATCTGTATTTCCACTTCCAGATCCACGCGGATCTGGAATTCCGCGGCTAGATTTGGAACTCAACGGCCAAATTTGTGCGAATCTGGAATTTCCCTTCCAGATCCGTGCGGACATGGAAATCCGCGGCCATATCCGCGCGGATCTGGTATTCCGTTGCCAACACAAACCGTGTCTCACGTCCACTGGATTTTTTTCCCCTGCCCCAAGTTTTTTTTACCTGCCCGACACTTCGTATTTCAGGTTTTTTTGTATGCTGGAAATTTCCACATCGCTTATGTTATGTTATGTACGGTGGCGTATAGTTCGTATGCGTTCTGTGCGCCATACACGTTTTTTCCAACATAGGTGCATGAAGAGAAGAAACCGTCCAAACCGGCGGAGCACATAGATCGTCCAGTGGAAGCTTACTAGCCAGGTGTTTGATGCTAACGACACACACACATACCTGGCTAGTAAGCTTCCACTGGATGGTCTGTGTGCTCCACCCTTGGCTGGTTCGGACGGTTTCTTCTATTCCTCTCCGCCTGGTTTGGTCAATTTATGCCTTTGTTCTCCCTCTCCGCCTCTCCCCTCATCCACACGCATTGAGGTGTATTTTGAGGCGCCTCAAAATGGTTCGGACGGTTTCTTCTCTTCCTCTCTGCCTGGTTTGGTCAATTTATGCCTTTGTTCTCCCTCTCCGCCTCTCCTCTCCCCTCATCCACACCCTTCCTTTTCAAGATTTCACAGGCATGGCAAGGTCGGCAGCAGCACCACCCACAAAAATGGCTGCAGGAGCGACAGGAGCAACGGCAGCAGCAGCACCACCACCAGCAGGAGTGGCGGCGGCAGCAGCAGCAGCAGCAGCGGGGGCGGCAGCAGAGGCGGAGGGAGAGGTGGTGGGGGTACCAGATGAGGAAATGGCTCTGGCGCTCACAGGGGGTGAAGCAGAAGGGGCGGAGGAGGGGTTGCTTGAGGCCTTGTTTCCTTTTGGAGGGGCAGCAGGGGCAGCAGAGGCAGCAGGGGCAGCAGGGGCAGCAGGGGCGGCAGGGGTAGCAGGGGCAGCAGCAGGGGCAGCAGCAGCAGCAGCAGCAGCAGCAACACTAGGACCTACCCCCTCCTCCTCCCAGTCCCCTCCTAAACATGTCCCCTCTCTTTTTATCGGCAAGCCAATTCGTGCTCTGAACAAATTCAAAGTGGTCAATCTAGACGTTGACCCGTCCAGATCATGCGAGCTGTCCCTGCATGCTATACAGCAAGGGAGGCTTGCTGTATGGGGGATAATCTCCCAGGTTCAGCTGCAAGGCGCAGATGCAGCAGGATGTGATTATAACGGGGGTAAAAGCTCGAGTGGGGGTGTGGGTCCTGAGGACATGATTTTAGTGAAGGTTCACGAGCCCATACTCGTTATAGGGTTCCATATATCACCGATTTGTGACCCGGATGCCCCGCCAACTCTTATTCTACACTCTCGTCTTGCCCTATATGTCTGCCAATCACCAGACTTAGAATATGAGAGCTTTGTTCCTCGCCTCCTATCCACCCCTCTGCTTTCTTGGGCCGTGCTTCATGGGTTACTGCTTCCTGGTGTGAGTGTGGGACGGGGAGGAGTGGATGGAGAGGAGGAGGGAGAAGGGGAGGAGAGGAGAGGAGGATCGGGGAGGAGAGGCGGGGGTAGGGGTGGGATGGATGGGGCGGAGGGGTTGGGCGGTGTTGGGGCGGCGTTGCGTGGATTTATGTGTGGAAGGAGGAGTGGGAGCGGGAGGAAGGGGGAGGGTGGGGATGGGGAGGAGGGTGGCGAAGGTGTGGGGTGGGGTGGGGTGCGGTGGCAAGGAGAGAAATTGGTAGAGGAGTGGGTTGGCAGGATGTGGGATTATTATGAAAAAAGGGGGGAAGGAGGCAGGAGAAATGGAGAAACAGGCTTGGATGTTGTGTGTGGGTTGGGAGGGGCAGAGGGACGAGACAAGCGGAAAGGAAAAGAGGTGGTGGCGGAAGCAGGAAGGGGAGGAAGGAGAGAAGGGGTGTGTTGGCACGAGCAGCACAGGCACAGCACAAGGAGCAGACACAGCGGATACAGGAGGAGCAGCAGTAGAAGCAGGAGAGTCGCACATATTGGGAACGTGGTAGGGAGGATGAGTGGGAGGAGAGTGAGGGGCCTTTGCTTTGTGTGGCGGAGGTCCATGGGAGATATGCTGGCAAGCGAGAGAGAGGAGGTGTGTGGGTTGCTGAATGGGGCCGTGCATGGATGGAGAGGAGGAGAGAGAGAGGAGGGAGTGGGTAAGGGAGAGGAGGGAGAGGAGGAGGAGGGGGTGGGGAGTGGGGGGTGTGTGTGGTGTGGGAGGGAGGGATGTGATGGGCTGATTGGGGCTGTTGGTGAGTTGAGGAGAGTGTTAGAGGGAGTGGGGAGGGGGAAGGAAGAGAGAGTGAAGGGATGGGGAACGGGACAGGGAGGGATGCGGAGGGGAGGGAGGCTGGTGCTAGGAGAGGAGGATGAAGAGGATGGGAAGGACAAGGAGGAAGAGGAAGTGGAGGAGGGAGGGCGAGAGCGTGGAAAGGAGAAAGGGAGGAGAGTTAGGGAGGAGGAGATGGGTGGTGGAGGAGGGGAGAGAGGGCTTGTTGTCGCCAGGAAGAGCGGCGTTTGGAACGGTAGAAATGGATTGGTGAAGTGTAGGGAAGCAAGGGAGGGATGTGGGGGAGAGGAGGAACGGGATGGGAAAGCAGCCAAGGGGGAGGGTGGTAGTGGGAGAGATGGGGGGGCTGCTGCTGCTAGAGGTGATGATAGGGGTTATGGAGGGGAAAGGGGTCATGGTGGTGGTGATGGTGGTAGTGATGATGGGAGTGATGATGATGATGATGGGGGTAATGGGTTCATTCCCTTAAGTGGGTCAAGGCCTCAGAAGGGTAAGAGTGGAAGGAAGAAGGATGCTGGATTTGGTGGGCTGGTGGGTACGACAAGAGGAAGAAGCGGTTTTACCCCGCTGATATGGGTGACTAATGGTGGGGAGGAGGTGAAAAAGCAGGAGGAGGCAGGAGGAATGGTTACTGGTGCGGTTGTTGGTGGTGCTGCTGGTGGTGGTGCTTTTGCAGGTGCTGGTGCTGGTGTTGCTGGTGGTGCAGCTGCTGCTGCTCCTGTGGGTGATTATGCTGGTGCTGTGACTGCATGGTTGGAGGACGAAGGGGGTGTGGGCGTGAATGGTGCTGGTGGTGCTTTTGCAAGTGCTGGTACTTCTGCTGTTGCTCCTGTGGGTGATTATGCTGGTGCTGTGAACGCATGGCTGGAGGACGAAGGGAGTGTGGGCGTGGGCGGTGCTCAACTGAAAGAGAAAGCTGGAGAGGGAGTGAAAGAGAAAGATGGGTTGAGATTGAGAGAGGTGTTGATGAAAGAGAAAGAGGGGTTGAAGGAGAGAGAGGGGTTGGTGAAAGTGAAAGAGGGGTTGAAGGAGAGAGAGGGGTTGAGAGTGAAAGAGGGGCTGATAGTGAGAAAGGGAAGAGGGGCAGGGGCTAAGGGTCCTGAGACACCGGCAAAGCAGAGGGAGGGAGGGAATGCTGTGAAGGGAAGAGTGAACGAGGGAGAGAGAGTGAGTGGTTTGCAGGTGAGAGTTAAGGAGGAGCCGGTAGAGGATGTGGTGATGAGGGGGAGAGAGAGGGAGGTGGGGGATTTGGGGCAGGTGGGGAGGGTGGGAACGGTGGGGAAGGTGGGGGATGGAGGAAGGCAAACGATTAATGGAGCAAAGGCTGAGGAGAGAGAGGAGGGGGAGGTGAGGGAGGGCGATATGGAGGAGGAAGAGGAGGACGATGAGGGGGAGAAGGGAAAGGAAGGAGAGGAGGGAGACGAAGAGGAGAGGAACGAGAGAGGGGAGAGGAAGGAGGAGGAGGAGGAGGAGGAGGAGGAGGAGGAGGAGGAGGAGGAGGAGGAGGAGGAGGAGAGGGAGAGAAGGATGGCTGGGGCGAGTGTGGGGAAGGATGATGAGGAGGAGGAAGCTGATAGTGATAGTGATAATAGTGATAGTGATAATAGTGATAGTGACAATAGTGATGATGGTGATGAGGATTACAAGGGTGAGGATGACGACGATTCTGAGAGTGATAGTGATGGGGATGGGGATGGGGATGTGGTAGAGGTGAAGAAGGAGAGGGTGGAGAGTGGTGAGGGAAGTGTTGGGGAGGGATTTGGTAGGGTGGGAGGTAGTGGGGTGGGAGGTGGTGGGGTGGGAGGTGGTGGGGTGGGAGGTGGTGGGGTGGGAGGTGGTGGGGTGGGAGGTGGTGGGGTGGGAGGTGGTGAAGTGAGAACAGATGAGGGTGCCAGGACAGGATCTGGAGTTGGAGGTGTAGGGGAAGCGAGAGTAGGAGTGGTAAGGGGGGAGGGATGGAGAGGGTTAGGGGGAGGAGTGGGGGGAAGCGGATGGAGAGTGGGAAGAGGGGAAGGGGACGGGAGAGGGACGGGGCTAGCCGAAGTGGGAAAGAAAGGCTTGGATTCCGGGTTTGCTGATCGGAGCGAGCAAAGGGGTGGGTTTGGTTTTGGGAATGAGCACAGGGGCGGGTTTGATGGTGAGAGCGATAAAAAAAGTAAGTTCGATGAGAGCACTGGAGAGGCAGTGGCGGAGTGGTTGATAGGCACGATGGGGATGCAAGAGAGGAAAGCGAGGAAGATTGTAGAGAGGACAAAGAAGGACGCGAGGCAGGGCGGGTGGGAGCTGGAGAGATGGGTTGCTGAGGCAGTCGACTTTGCTGCTGCTGCTGAGGTGCATGAGAGGATGGTGGAGGAACAGGAGGAAGAGGAGGAGGAAGAGGAGGAGAGAGAGGGAGAGGAGCAGAAGCAGGAGGTGGAGGAGGAGGAGGAGGATGGGGAGGGGGGAGGTGATGGTGAGGATGAAACAGGGAAGTATGGAGAAGGATGGGGTCGTGCTGGAGGTGGTGGTTTCGGTGGTGCTGTTGTTGCTGGTGGTGGTATTAGTATTGGCGGTGGCGGTGTTGGCGGCGATGGTTTCGGAGGTGATGGTGAGGATGATTCAGGGAAATATGGAGAAGGATGGGGTCGTGCTGGTGGTGGTGTTGGCGGTGGTGTTGGCGTTGGTGGTTTCCGAGGTGGTGGTTTTGGGGGTGGTGGTTTCGGGGGTGGTGGTTTCAGGGGTGGCGCAGGCGCTTATTCTGGTGCTGCTGCTCGTGGGAATGGTCGTGTTGGTGGTGCTGATCGGTGGGCTGCTGTTTCTGCTGCTGCTGGAAATGGGCGGGCAGAAGGGAGGGCAGGAGGGGGGGCAGGTGGGAGGGGCATGGGAGGCTGGTTGCATGAAGATGAGGATGGCGCATCCATCTTTGGTGAGTGCTGTTTGCTGCTGCTGCTGCTGCTGCCGCCGCCGCCTCCGCCGTCTCTGCTGCTGCTGCTGCTCGTGCCACACTCCCCAGCAGCCAGAGCTTTCGCGTTTAGATCCAGTGATCGTGGGAGGAGGGGAGGAGGTGTCAAGGCAGGAGGTCGCGCTGAATGCGTTTTTTGAGATTTCTCATTCCATTTCACCTGAACGCATTCAGGAGGTGAACATAGAACGAGTTCCATATTCTCCTTTTCCTGCCTTTCCTGTCTGCTGTTCCACGTTCCCTTTTTTTCTCCCCTTTTCCTTCTCCTGTGCCGTTTTTTCCCTCCTAGGCTTAAGTGCCTCGGGTGTCACATGTCCGCCCACCACCTTTGCTTTTTCCCCACCTTGTGTTTCCCCTGTTCGCTTCCCTTTCCCCCTTCTCCTTACTCTTCCCAGGCTTATGTGCCCGGGTTCTCACCCATCTGCCCACCACCTCCACTGTCTCCCACGCCCCACCACACTCCCCAGCAGCCTGAGCAGCAGCAGTTTGCACTTTAGTGGTCGGGAAAAAGGAGGGAGAGGGGAGAGTTGGTCGTTTTTTAACCCGCCCCTTTCCTCGCCTTGTGTTTCCCCTGTTCCCTTCCCTTCCCCTCTTTTCCTTACCCCATCCAGGCTTCGGTGGTTCTGGTCTCACCCGTCCACCCACCACCTCTGCTGTCTCCCGCGCCCCACCACACTCCCCAGCACCCAGAGCTGGCACGTTTACACCCAGCGGTCGGGCAGGGCCCAGCAGGGTTGGATGCGGTGATGAGCAGTGGGGGAACAACACAGCCAGAGGCGGTGGTGAGGGGTGGGGAAGTGGGGTTGGATGCGGTAGTGAGCGGTGGGGGAACAACACAGCCAGAGGTGGCAGTGACGGGTGGGGAAGTGGGGTTGGATGCGGTGGTGAGCGGTTGGGGAACAACACAGCCAGAGGTGGCGGTATGGGGGCGGTAGGGGCAGGGGGGTTTGGTAAGGGAGGGGTAGAACGACAGCTGGCACGGATGCTGACTCAGCGTGACAGCGTGGCAGGGGGTGTGAAGGAGGAGGAGTGGGAGGGAGTAGGTTGGAAAGGAGTGGGGGGAGGGAAAGGGCTGGGAGGAGGGGGAGTGAGAGGCGGGAGAGGAGGGGGAGTGAAGGGTGGTGGGGATGGTGGGTACAGAAAGGGAGTGGGGAAGTGTGAAGAGGAGGAGGGGAACTGGTGGGATGAGGAGGAGGACGAGGAGGAAGAGGAGGAGGGAGGAGGGGAGTGGAATGGTGGTAATGGTGGTTTTGCTGGTGCTGCTGCTGCTGGTGCGGGTAATGGCAATTGGTGGGACGAGGGGCAGGAGGAGGAGGAGGAGTGGGAGGAGGGTGACGGGGACTATGGGGTTGGTGCTGTGGGTGCTGCAGGTGCTACATTTGGTGGTGCTGGTGGTGTGAGTGGGACAGCAGTGGGTCAGAAGCGCAGGGCGAGTGGTGGAAGGGGAAATGCTTCCAAGGCAAGTGTTTGACCATCTTACACCTGCACTGGAGTCTGGGGTCTGGGTTTTGGGGTTGGTGCTGCAGGTGGTGTGGGTGGTGGTGGTGGTGTGAGTGGGACAGCCGCGGGTCAGAAGCGCAGGGCGAGTGCTGGAAGGGGAAATGCTTCCAAGGCAAGTGTTTGACCATCTTACAGTTATACTGGAGCCGTTTCCCCTCTCTTCCCTAAACCATCCCTTTCTCCTTACTCTTTATTTCCTCGCTTCCTTCCCTTCTGCCTGCCCTCCCATATTCACTCTTTTGCGTTCCTATCACCCGCAGAAGCGAAACCCTCTTCCTGCTCCCTCCCTTGAGCACTGATTTTGCGGCACAGCTTTGTGGCTCTCCTGTGTGTCATCATTACCACTCATCCTGACACACCTGAAACGCCCTTCCTGTTCAATGCCAAAAACTTTGGTCATTCTCTGCTTCTTCCGCAAACTATCACGTTCTCCTTTCCCCTTCATTCCCTCATTTCTTCCTTTCTGCGCCCCATCTCCCACTCACTCCTTTGCCTCTTCGTTCCCTTTTCCAGAAGCAAAACCCTCCGCCTGCTCCCTCCTTCGTGCACTCATCTCGAGGCATTCAAGTCATCAACCCCTCTCAGCCTGCCACTGCTGGAACTCCCGATAAATATGATGTGAACGGCTCCTGCCCCTCTTTTGAGACGTCTCAAAAGATAAATATGATGTGAACGGCTCCTGCCCCTCTTTTGAGACGTCTCAAAAGATAAATATGATGTGAACGGCTCCTGCCCCTCTTTTGAGACGTCTCAAAAGATAAATATGATGTGAACGGCTCCTGCCCCTCTTTTGAGACGTCTCAAAAGATAAATATGATGTGAACGGCTCCTGCCCCTCTTTTGAGACGTCTCAAAAGATAAATATGATGTGAACGGCTCCTGCCCCTCTTTTGAGACGTCTCAAAAGATAAATATGATGTGAACGGCTCCTGCCCCTCTTTTGAGACGTCTCAAAAGATAAATATGATGTGAACGGCTCCTGCCCCTCTTTTGAGACGTCTCAAAAGATAAATATGATGTGAACGGCTCCTGCCCCTCTTTTGAGACGTCTCAAAAGATAAATATGATGTTTAACGGCTCCTGCCCCTCTCCCGCCCTCCCTTTCCCCCCACCCTTCCCCCTGCCTCCATTTCCTCCCTTCCTCCCTTTCTGTTTCCCACCCCACTTGTTCTCTCATCTCTTTCCCTTTCAGAAGCAAAACGCTCTGCCTGCTCCCTCCTTTGAGCACTCCTTCCGCAGCACTCGAGTGATCAACCTCACTCAGCCCCACGCACCTGAAACCCCCAATTACTGCAATCCCTCCAACTTCCCGCTCATGTGCGGGTTTGGTGGGATTCCCGGAGTCGAGCCGTACAGGCGAAACGCTGCTGACGTCACTGACCCCAAGGGCGTGTTCATATACGTGGAGAACATCAAGAGTGCAGAGTGGGGTCAGATGTCGGGGATGCTGTTCTCGCTCCCTGTGGAGTTTGTGGATAGCGCCCACCTGGGGGTGTGCCGCAGGCAGAGAGGGTGGGTGCTGAGTGTGCATGTATGTATGTGCATGGTGATTGTGCATGGTGATTGTGCATGGTGATTGTGCATGGTGATTGTGCATGGTGATTGTGCATGGTGATTGCGCATGGTGATTGTGCATGGTGATTGTGCATGGTGATTGATTGTGCATGGTGATTGTGCATGGTGATTGTGCATGGTGATTGTGCATGGTGATTGTGCATGCCCATAGTGTATCGATATCTGCCGCTCCCTGTGGAGTTTATGGATAGTGCCCACCTGGGGGTGTGCCGCAGGCAGAGAGGGTGAGTGCTTGTTGAGTGAGCATATGTCATGCATGTGTGTGTGTGCGTGTGTGTGTGTGCGTGTGTGTGTGTGCGTACGTGTGTGCATGTGTGTGCGTGTCTGTGTGTGTGTCTCTTAGTTTTCATTTCTGCATCCACCTCCCCTCATGACTACCCACTTCTCATTACATTTCCCTTCTCATCCACTCTCCTCATCATTAACCCTCTTATCCACCTACCAACTTACACACCTTCCTCCTCCTCCCTCCCTCCATATCTACCCCCTCACCCCCCAGGTACCTTCACAATCTACCCATAAACGACCGGTGGCTGCCCGATTGGGTTCTAAACCGCCCGAAAACGATTTTCGAGGCATTTCCCAACTCGCGGCAGGCATGGCCAAGCTGGGACAAAAGGACGAAGCTCAACGTTATCAACACCCAGGCGTTCGGAGTGGCTTCGAAGCTCCAGCAATGGAACGTTGAGCTCCAGATTCACGGAGCAGAGGGCCTCTCCCCGCAGAGACGCCAAGAGCTGCTTACATACGTCAGGAAGTAAGCTAACGGGGGGAATTGGGGTGGGGAGAGGGGGGGGGGGGGGGGGGGGGGGGGTGAGTTCTTGCTTGGCGTTTAAAGTGACATCGAAGCTTCACAGCAGAGGGGCTTTCCCCGGAGAGATGCCAGGAGCTGCTGACATACGTCAGAAAGTAAGCTTGTAGATGGAGAGAGGGGGGGGGGGGAGGGGGGGGAGGGGGGGGAGAAGGGGGGGAAGGGGGATAGGGGGGGGGGACAGGGGGGGAGGGGGGGGATTTGGGACGTCTCAAACACCTCTCCTTTTCCATAGAGAGTCCCCAAGAGCTGCTGACATACGTCAGGAGGTAAGCTTGTAGAGCGAGAGGGAGGGGGCGTGGGGAGAGGGGAGGAATTTTGGGAGGTCTCAAACAGTGGGTTTGCTGGTTTTGAGAAGTATTGTGATGTTAATAAGTCCGTGTGTGATGAGTCGATTTTTGAGTCGACTCAAAAATCGCCTCAACAGTGGGTTTGCTGGTTTTGAGAAGTATCATGATGTGAATAAGTCGCCTGGAGTTTATGGCATGCATCAGAGTGCAAGTGTAGAGGGCGGGGAATGGAGCCCCGAGTAGAGGCCATGACAGGTGGGTTTGTGGTAGAATATGACATGCGTCAGAGTGCAAGTGTAGAGGGCAGTGGAAGATGGGGGGGGATAGGAGAGGGGGAGAGGGAGGGAAGGGAGGGGAGCGGGGGATGGGACGCTTCCAGTGCCCTCTCTTTTCAGTGCCCTTTCCCTCTCCACTGCCCTCTCTTTTCAGTGCCCTTTCCCTCTCCACTGCCCTCTCTTTTCAGTGCCCTTTCCCTCTCCACTGCCCTCTCTTTTCAGTGCCCTTTCCCTCTCCACTGCCCTCTCTTTTCAGTGTCCTCACTTGCTGTGGGACTTTAGAGGCGCTTCATAACGTTTCTCATTCCAACCAATGGCACGTTTCTCTGGCTCGTTCCACTCTCGTGCCAACCAATGCCCCCCCCAATCTCTCAGGTACAACCTGCTGTGGATAGAAAAGGACCGGCTCGCCCCTCTAGAGGTGGATCAGCTGTGGGACTTCTGGGGCGCCTCAGAACGTTTCTCATTCCAACCAATGCCCCCCCCCATTGCCTCGCAATCCCTCAGGTACAAGCTGCTGTGGATTGAGAGGGACCGGCTCGCCCCTCTGGAGGTGGATCAGTTGGAGGAGGTGATGGGGTACCCCCGGGGGCACGTCTCAATGGCACGTAATTCTCTTATTCTAACCACTGCCCCCCAACCTCTCATTCCAACCACTGCCCTCCCCCATCCAATCTCGCAGGTACAACTTGCTGTGGATTGAGAGGGACCGCCTCGCCCCACTGGAGGTGAACAACAGCTGGAGGAGGTGATGGGGTACCCCCCCAAGGGGGCACGTCTCTCTGCTATAATACTTGTCTCATTTCAACCACGGCCCTGAACCTCTTGTTACATGTGCGCCTAATCGCATGGCTGCAGGTTCAACCTGCTGTGGATTGAGAGGGACCGGCTTGCCCCTCTGGAGGTGGATCAGTTGGAGGACCTGATGGGGTACCCTGAAGGGCACGTCTCTACGGTTACCGCCAACAAAACCAGCCGATATAAGATGCTCGGTAAGAAGGAATGAGCAAGCGTACAGTTTCCTTTCCTCTAACATATTGATATCTCAACTCGCTCTCATAGTCCTTTTATTTCTTGCCCTTGCTGTCCTTGTCTGACAGCAAGCGTACAGCAAGGGAAGAAAGGAAAGGAAACTGTACGCTTGATGTTCTTTTCAGACATTATCCTGTCCCCCTTCCTGTCTGCATCCTCCTTTCTCGTGCAACCTCGATATCCACCTTCATATTTTCTGTCCATATCCCACAGTCTTCCACTACACACTTTTATACACATTCGATCTACGTCCCACGGTCGCACTAGTTTTGAGGCGCCTAAAAAAACTGTAAAAGCCCTCCCACTGTTCACCTATATACACCTTCCATCAACATCTCATAGTTGCACCGCACTTTTCATTTCAGTGCCGCGCCTTTGAGTCAAGTCTATCAAATTTCCTATTCATTTCCGCGTTCCCCATTCCCCGATCCCCATTCCCCATCACTCATTCCCCCGATCTCTTTTTTTCATCATTCATTCCCCATTTCCTATTCCCCATTTCCTATTCCCCATTTCCTATTCCCCTGCTCCCCATCCCCCCATTCCCCACCCCCCACCCCCCATCCCCCATGCCCCCAGGAAACACCTTCCACGTGCCCACCGTCGCGCTCCACCTCTCAGTGCTGCGCCGCCTCAACCGCCCCATCCGGGTCCTCTCGCTCTTCTCAGGCATCGGCGGCGCCCTAGTGGCACTCCACATGGTGCAAGTGCCTGTGATCCGTGCCGTGAGCATCGAGGCTGATAGCAGCTGCCGGGAAGCAGAGGCGCGGTGGTGGAAAAACGCTGCAGCGGCGAGGGGCGGGAGCAGGCTGGTGGGGAAGCTGTCTCAGCTGTACCACGATGTGACAAAGCTGAACAGGAGGGTTGTTGAGGGATTGGTGGATAAATACGGGCCGTTCGATCTGATAATCGGCGGTAGTCCTTGTAACAACTTCACAGGGAACAACCGTCAGCCTGCGGACAGCCCGGCTGGCCGGGGCGGGCTTCATGGTAGGGACTCGTCGCTGTTTTTCATAATGCAAAATGTGATTCAGACTGTTGAAATGATTCAGGAGAGGCGGGGTTTCAGGGTTCCTCTTGCACTGTAGGTCCTTTCAGGGTTCCCAGAAGGTCTCCAGACTCCTGGCCAGAGTTCAGCTGGTTGACTTTTGAGTCGACTCAAAAGGGTTCCTCTTGCACTGTAGCCTCCCAGAGGTCTCCAGACTCCAGGCCAGAGTTCAGCTGGTTTTCTTAGCTCCTTTTGTGCCTGGGCTGATTTTCTTCAGCCCATTTTAACTGTGCGTGCATGCTGATTCTTCACTGCAGCTTAAGAGCGTGTTCCTACACCTCGTATCAGACACACCTGGTATCAGCTTCGCGTGGTGAAATACGTTTCAGTGTGTTCGGCTGCGGTTGGATGCGTTTTAGTGCGGTTCGACGCGAATCTGATACGAGGTTGCCTGATATGAGGCCGTAGGAACACGCTCTTACTGCAACCCAGTAGCAACTTTATGCATGTAACGACTTGCTTGTTGCTCTCCCTTGATGAGATGTTTGTGATCAGGTCCTTCATTAGTGTGTTCCCACATTCACTGAAGATTCCTGACTATATACGGTATACGGTAGTTCCACATTACCGCAACTATATACTGTATGTTCCCGGACCATCTCCTATAGTCATTTCCATCTTGCTCATTAGCCAGAAATCTAGCAAATGTAGCTCTTTTGTTAGTGGTGAAACATATGGTAATACTTTCTTTTTTAACAACTGTCAAGCAGTATTGTACTTCCAAAGGATACTTCAAGAACAAGTCACAGACACTAAGGCCTGCTGTGTGCCTAGTTGACGGCCAGTCATCTCTAGTTCAGAGGTTGAACCCGTAGCATGACTGACTGTCAACTAGGAACGGAAATCCAACGCTAGCAGTCCTTTTGTTTTGGGGTGGTTTGCACGCCCCAGGATTTACACCTTGGTGTTCGTGGGAATCAGAACTTTATCCACGCCGTGAGCAATGAAGTACGGTCCAGCGTACAGCCGGACGATCTTGATCGTGGTCCAGGCGGCAGGGGGGGCGTTGGGCGTCTTGGCGAAAGAAATCGTGTTACCATTCTGCTGCGAAACCTTGTACATCGCCTGCTTCAGCTGCGTGCCGAGCGGCTGCGACTTCTTGAGGACCTTGAGCGCGGGAACGGTGTACTTCTTGCGAATAATGTGGTACGCCGTGATGTTGTAGATTCTGGGAATGTTGGCTTTGTTAACGGGGACCTTCTTAGCGAGGGCCTCCGCCTCCGTGTCGCTGGGGAGGAGCAGGGTTGCGTCGCTGAGCGCTGTGAAATCGTATTTGGAATTCACTGGAGGGGGGGAGAAGGAGAGGGATGGATGTGGAGAAAGAGGGAGGACAGAAAATAATAGGTCTCTAGCTTGCTGAAGTGATAAGTGGCGTTTAGGGGATTCGAGGAATGGGAGGGGCGTGGAAAGAAGGGAGTGACAGATTCAGCCTAAAATTGCCGCGCGAATCTGGGTGCGTTTCTAGCTAATTGAAGAGAAAGAAACATGCACTATGGAAACGCCTGGGAAGAGGTAACGGATTGACGTGCATAGAGAAGCAGGGAGAGTTTGCAGCGCGGGGAAGTCTAGGGGATGATATGCCAGCATGAGATCTCGACGTCCTTCATTTCGAGGGTTTCTCTTGCAGCGGCGAGAGCAAGAAGGCGAGCCCGAGCACAACTTAAGCAAAAACGAGCTTGAAATTAGTAAAGCGAGCCCTTACGTGCGAGGCCAATGTACTTGTTGATGTCCTTGGCGTATTTCGCGTATTGCGGAAACTTCTGCGTAATGGCGTTGGCCATGTTCTGAAGCTCCGCTTTTATTTGCGCCTTGGTGGGCTTCGCCGGCGCCTGGGCGTGCGCGCTCGCGAAGCACAGCACGATGCAGAGCAGCCCTAGGAAAGAGAGGTACCTTGAACTGGCCATATTTGGGAGAAAATTGCACGACCGTAGAGGAGGAAACAGTTTCGTGCGAAGAGAAGGTCTGGAAATGTGGAGGTGTGGGTAGCGAATCTAAGCGAATCAGGAGGGAAGCAAAATTGATCAGAGGCAAGGCGAGTTGAATCAAGGCGAGAGAGCCACGAATGAACTTGAGAGTTCCAGAGGCACGGAAAGTGTTATACAGGTGCAGAATGAGGCTGGCTGGGGGACGGGAGCGCGTCCCGGATACCAACATGCGGCGCGAGAAGCGGTGAGGCAGCTCAGGCGAAGTTACATTTTCGGTGACGATAGGTTTCTTGAATTCTTCGTGCTCGAATTTGGGAGACGGGGGGCAACTGTACTTCTCGCCAACAAACTGCTGGGTCCCAGAACATGTCGCGAAGCTCGTTGACCGAAAGTGGTTGTGGCTGTCGGTTGAGGTCGCGCGCGGTCCGCGTGAAGCCTTTTCGTGCTCTTTAGAAGCCTTTTCACTAAATCAGAGAAATGCTATAACACTAAAAATCTGCATTACACATGTTTCATCCCTCCGCGACACAAAATGGAAACTGCAACTCAGGAATCCAGAAACGTTTGCTCAAGTCCACAAAATATACACCCCTGTACATACATACATGGCTCTACCATACTAGTAAATAACTGGCATGTAGAAAAAAACGCCACACAAAAGCACAAGTTTGGCACTCCAACCGATGCACTAGCTGCAGCACACCAAATCATCACTCTCACTTGAATGTTGCCATTTTGCGAAACGGCACCATGCGCTTCCTGGCGTAGGGAACAGAGGAAGGGCATGGCAACAGAGGAGGCATTAGTACTTCAAAATTCAGCGACAAAGAGGCTCCATATTTGAAAATGGGAATGGGACAAGAGAGTATAGGAGCACAGGAAGCGGAGATGGTCCACTCCAGTCTATATGGGGTCAGAGCGAGGATAAGTGTTGGTTGGGAACGGGGACAAGGCGAATGGGGTTGGGTATGGTGTGCAGCTGGGGCGGAATGTCTGGGGCCATTTGGGGGAGGGGGGAGGGGGGAGGGGTGAGGGGGGAGGGTGGAGGGAAAAGGGTGTGTGGGAGCCATGGACCTAGTGGGTGCCAGCGGGAATCAGGATGGCACAAGCGTACAAACAAATGCGCGAGCCTACTCACTTTGGCGAAACCAACCCAAATGCGCCAGACGCGTCTTTGGGCTTGCTCGTCTCTTCCGCCGCACTCCGCCCTTCCGTGCTTCCCCTCCCTTCCTCGCTCTCGCACTCCGCAATGGGTTCGGCCACACTCAGAGACACAACCTCACTCGAGTCAGAGACAGCAGCGGAGGAGAATCCGCCAATTGCAGTCTTTCCAGACAGAAACTGCGCGGAAGACTTGGCAGCAGCCACATTGCTATCCCCGCTAGAAGCCTGCGCCTTATCCGCCGCTTTAAACGAGAACCATTTGGAAAAGCGACGGGAGGGCGTGAGCGGGGGACCGATGCTTCCGCTGGGGGCAGTTGGGGCTGCGGAGGGGAGAGCGGAGCAGGAGAGCGGGCCGTGATCGGCGGAGGCGGGGTCCGACTCGGGGACAGTGAGCGCGGGGAGGAAGGGCAGCCCCCCGCCTGAGGTTTTTCCGCGGATGCGGAAGGAGCGCGCGGAGATGAGGGAGGAGAGGGCGCCGGTACTCGTGCTTTTGCTTATGGTTCCGCCACTGCTCGCCGCGCGCGCTACACCTTTGTGCGTAGCAGCGCCAGCACTGGTGCTGATGGGCGTCACGGTGCCGCTGCTAGGAGTTGTGCCGGTTGCGGAATCGAGGGAGAAGAGCCCGCCCGTGCTCGTGCTCTTGCGGATGCTGCCGATGGCGCCGCCGCCACTGCTGCTGCTGCTTGGCGCGTTCCGGCTTTCAGCAATTTCAACAGTTTCAGCGTTCGGAGCAGCGGCGATGGCAGTGGCGTCGGTGTCGCTAGCAATGGTGGTGGTGGTAGTGGTGATGGTTGCCGCACTCTCCGCCGCCGCGCCCTCCGCCTCAACGCTCTCCGCCTTTTCCCCCTCCGCCTCCTTGCTCTCCGCCTCCGCGCCCTCCGCCTCCGCGCCGTCCACCTCCGCACCCTCCGCCACCGCGCTCTCCACATCCGCACCCTCCGCCACCGCGCTCTCCACCGCCGCGCTCTTCCCCGTGCACTCCTCCGCAGCGGTCTGTGCCGCGGTCTCCGCCGCCACGACCTCCGTCACCGCGACCTCCCTCAATCGCTTTGATTCTTCAGATGGCTCCACCGCAGCCTCCGCCGCTTCAGGTGTTTCCGTCGATTCTGGCGTTTCCGTGAATGTTTGCTTTTCCGTCGATTCTTCCGTCGGTTCTGACGTTTCCGTCGTTTCTGTTCTTACTTTCGTTTCTCTCGGTTCCACCGTGGCTTCCGCTGTGTTTGCCGCTTCCGCACGCTGCTGCGCCGCCGCCTCTCGCGCCGCTTCCTCAATTATCATGATCTGCCAGAGCAGTCGGTTCTCCTCGTCCTCGTCCCCCGACTCGAACACTTCGCTCTCCGCGATTGCCGCCATGGCTCCGGCTTTATTCAACGCGCCGCCGTCCATATACTCCCACGGGTGCGTCGGTAGGCCCAACGATGCTGACGAGGCAGTTGCGTGGCTGTGGGAACTGAGGACGTCAGTCATTGTAGAGCTGAACTTCAAGGCGGCGTCAGTCAGAGTTCAGACTCCTTACTTGGAGTAAGGCGGCGTCAAAGCTCAGACTCCAAGTTCGGAACTGGGTTAATGAATGACGCCTCACGCTCTAGCCCCCCTGTGGTACATTATCGTTCATGAATGAAAGTCTCCAACGAGTTCGCCGTTCCGAGGAGGCTGATTGAAGGAAATGGAACTACAGTACGTGTGGTCGGGGCTCGGGACGCCTCCACACGTGTTTCACTCGTTAGGCAGCGACGAGGGGCAAACGAATCTCTAGTTCCGCACACCCACCACAGGAACAGGCACACAGCACAACATTTTCCTTGCATCCCCCCACATCCGTTCTGGCTGGACGCCTGGGTTCTGAGGGAGGATGCGGTTGGCTGGAGCAAGGGACACCCTTCAGCGGGTGTAAGGATTGAGGCATCGAGGCGAAAGTCTGTTCCTTGTGGAGCCCGAAACGCATTCGTGAGTTTTGTGTTTCTCGCGCGGCTGGGTGCGATTGCGTTCACGGTGGCGCGAATCGTATCGCATGTTCGCACGTTTGGTAGAGATTGTTCGTTTCGCAAGAAACATCGAGAGGGTGAACTGCGAGGTCGCAAGCGTTCGCAATATTGCTGCGAGCTTCGCACTCGCCCGATCGCGAACTCTAGGGGGGGATGAGCTGGGCACGTGTTGGAACAACTGTAACGGCAAAGTCTAGCGGATTTTTCATTGGCTCCCAGAAGCGATATGAATCACGACTCGGAAGATCCAAGTCGTGTGCCCTTGGCGACGGGCATTGGCTGGGTGAAACTCGCTTGCAGCGATGAAGACCGATTTGCGTGGCGGAGAGTAACCCAAAATGTGGAGGTCGCATCTCCACCCATCAAGTGTGATACACGTCAGATAATCATGAATGTGATGCAGCATCTCAAGCAAGATCAGCCTGAATCTTGTAATCATCTAAAACAGCATCTCGTTTAGACATATTATACTCTACCGGCAGGGCAACCATTACAAACAGAATAATGATGCTTCACATGATGCTATCTTTCAATCTCTAACCAGCTCCATTTCCTCCACATCAAAATCTACTCCTCGCACCACGCCTTCAAACAAGCCTGAGACCTGCATAAGCTCCAACTGACGATAACCACCAGCCTGCACATCTCGCCGCTCTAAATCATCACCTTCCACCCCATTTCCAGCACCATTTTCAACATCGTCTCTGTACACATCCTCCAATTCAAACTCGCCCGAGGACCTCAAAGAATCAACAAGGTAAGGCTCGCCATCCACATCAGCATAACCACTCCTATTACCACTATATGTGGTGGAAGATGCAATGTCATCCCCAGAGGGGGGGAGGAGCGGCAAAGGCCGTATGTGCCAGTCTATTGGATGGTTGGAGATGGGTGGGCGGGGCGTGTGCATAAGTAGAGAATCATGGGTTGAGTGTGGTGATCGAGGGGTGTGGGGAGGAGGGTGTGAGGAGGAAGAGGAGGAGGGGAGTGGAGAGGTGAGGTAGCGACCCCACTTTTGCAAGAGGAAGAACCTTGAGGGGAGGGAAAGGGGGATTGGGAAAAGCAGAAAGAGTGGTGGATGATGGTTGGAATGGGGAACTGGCATGTGAGAGTTTGATTGACACACAGAGCGTGATGGGAGGGATGTTCTGGTGGCACAGGACGGAATGTGTATGGCATATGTAAGGGCGGAAAACACGTGGGTTGTGCGTTGACTGATGGTGGGGAGCAACATACATATGCCATGCATTACCACGGCACTTACTGCACACAATCATGTCATGTCATGTCATGTCATGGCAACGACATCATACTATGAGGGGTGACACAGATTGGATGTACCATTGGATGAGAGCTTCAAGCAAGGACGGCACATAGGAAAGGGAGTGTAGTGTGTACCATTGGATGAGAGCTACAAGCAGCACGGAGGAGAAGATGGAGGGGATCCAGATGTTGGGGTGGAACTTGAGAAACCTGATGGTGATGATGATGACGTGTATGTGTGGGAACATGTGTGAGCTTCATGGGATGCATGGGAATCCAGATGTTGGGGTGGAACTTGAGAAACCTGATGATGGATGTGTGTGTGGGTCATGTGCAGAAAGTGTGAAGTTCATGGGATGCATGTGGATATAGATGTTCGGGTGGAACTTGAGAAACCTGATGGTGGATGTGTGTGTGGGTCATGTGCAGGAAGTGTGAAGTTCAAGGGATGCATGTGGATATAGATGTTCGGGTGGAGCTTGAGGAACCTGATGGTGGATGTGTGTGGAGCATGCTGGAATTTTAGTCTTGAACGGACTTTCAAGGCACTCTAAGCAGGTTTTCTTTCTCCTCCTTACTTTTTTTTTTTTTTTTTTTTTTTTTTTTTTTTTTCCTTTTCGTTTTGTTAAGGCATGTGGGCTGAGATGAGATGAAATGGTGTGATATGCTTGTGAGGCAAGGACGTCAATGGAACGGATATGCGTGCCATGCCACCCATGTCTGCCATGCCATGCCATGCCTCGTGTGAAACTCACGCCATAGTAGCGAGCAGAGGGAAGAAGAAGGTGATACCTGCACAGTGGGTGTTGGTGTGGTGTGCGGAGTGGGGATGGGGTGTTGGTGTGGTGTGCGGAGTGGGGATGGGGTGTTGGTGAGGTGTGCGGAGTGGGGATGGGGTGTTGGTGTGGTGTGCGGAGTGGGGATGGGGTGTTGGTGTGGTGTGCGGAGTGGGGATGGGGTGTTGGTGTGGTGTGCGGAGTGGGGATGGGGTGTTGGTGTGGTGTGCGGAGTGGGGATGGGGTGTTGGTGTGGTGTGCGGAGTGGGGATGGGGTGTTGGTGTGGTGTGCGGAGTGGGGATGGGGTGTTGGTGTGGTGTGCGGAGTGGGGATGGGGTGTTGGTGTGGTGTGCGGAGTGGGGATGGGGTGTTGGTGTGGTGTGCGGAGTGGGGATGGGGTGTTGGTGTGGTGTGCGGAGTGGGGATGGGGTGTTGGTGTGGTGTGCGGAGTGGGGATGGGGTGTTGGTGTGGTGTGCGGAGTGGGGATGGGGTGTTGGTGTGGTGTGCGGAGTGGGGATGGGGTGTTGGTGTGGTGTGCGGAGTGGGGATGGGGTGTTGGTGTGGTGTGCGGAGTGGGGATGGGGTGTTGGTGTGGTGTGCGGAGTGGGGATGGGGTGTTGGTGTGGTGTGCGGAGTGGGGATGGGGTGTTGGTGTGGTGTGCGGAGTGGGGATGGGGTGTTGGTGTGGTGTGCGGAGTGGGGATGGGGTGTTGGTGTGGTGTGCGGAGTGGGGATGGGGTGTTGGTGTGGTGTGCGGAGTGGGGATGGGGTGTTGGTGTGGTGTGCGGAGTGGGGATGGGGTGTTGGTGTGGTGTGCGGAGTGGGGATGGGGTGTTGGTGTGGTGTGCGGAGTGGGGATGGGGTGTTGGTGTGGTGTGCGGAGTGGGGATGGGGTGTTGGTGTGGTGTGCGGAGTGGGGTGACATTGGGACTTTCATGAGACGCCTGACACGAGGGAAGGAGAAGGTGAAGATTGCACGAGTTGCCTTTTGAGTCGACTCAAAAGTCGTTCGTGTGATCTGTGGAGTGGAGTGCGAGTGGAATGCTCATAAGACGTCTCACACGAGGGAAGGCGAACGTGACGATTGCATGAGTAGGGTTGCGTGGTGTGGCCGGTGGGGTGCAAGAGTGGGTGGGAAAAGGGGGCGGGGGGGTCGAATCCAAGGGCACCTAGGGGGATTTGTGGAGTGGCAGTTGCAGAGAGTGCAACTGACAGGACCCGGACAGAAGTCGCCTCAACAAAACACACCAAAATAGGGTTACTACTCCTAGACAGTAATTTTCAGCAGAGACTGTGAAGGTCAGTTCTGAATCGAGCCCAAATGACAGATGGTTACTGATGACTGAAGTTACCAGCAGAAAAGAGACGGAAGGTCAACCGCCAGTCGGACTCGCATCTGCATTGAAAAGAAGAGAGGATACGAGAGGAGGGGAGGTGAGCATTTGAGAGGAGGAGAGGAGTGAGGGCACAACAGGAGGGGACGAGAGAAAAGAGACGGAAGGTCAACCGCCAGTCGGACTCGCATCTGCATTGAAAAGAAGAGAGGTTATGAGGAGGGATGGTGAGGGTAGGAGGAGGGGAGGAGTGAGGGCACGAGGGGAGTGGAAGTGAGAAAACAGAAAGTGTATATAGGAAGCAATGAGTACATACGAACTGTTGATGAGAATCCTGAGGAGAATTGGGCACAGGAAGAGAAACCAGGGGAAGAAGGGGGAGAAACCAGGGGAAGAAGGGGGAGAAACCAGGGGAAGAAGGGGTAGCTGAAGGGAAGTGGAAGAGGGGTAAAAGGGAAGTGGACTGGAAAGGAACAATAAGGAAGATGAGAGGGAATAGGAGAGGTAATAGGAGAGGGAAGAGGAGCGGGATGAGGCAGGAATGATGAAATGTACGAGATCACAGACAGATGATAGATCACCAAAACCCTGTGGTTATAAAGAAGAACACCTGAGGTCCCAGAATCGGTCGAAGCTCCTCAAGGCAGCTGGCGGGGCGGTGATCGTCGTCCTGTTGCCGCCCGCCGCCGCCCGGTTGAGTGCGAAGTAGCGGGCAGAGGCTAGAAACTCCTCCTCCTCCCTCTCGTGCACATATAGCTTGCCCATCCTCAGCACTGCTCCCAATACAAAGACGGCTATCATTGCTGCTACTACCATCAGTGATGGCTGGAGGAGGTGGGAAGAAAAGCAGGGGGCAGGGGAGCAGGGGAGGGGGGAACGGGGAGGGGAGCAGGGGGGGCGGGGCCATGGGGAGAAGGGAGCAGCAGGCAGAGGCGAGAAACTCCTCCTCCTCCCTCTCGTGCACATATAGCTTGCCCATCCTCAGCACTGCTCCCAACACGAACACTGCTATCATTGCCGCTACCACCATCAGTGATGGCTGGACCGGGGGCGGGGAGAGGGATAAGGGCAAGGGCAGGGAACAGGGGCAAAGGGGACAGCGGGCAGGGGGCAGGGGGAGGGGTCAGGTATGGGAGAGCAGGAGGCAGCGGGCAGAGGCGAGAAACTCCTCCTCCTCCCTCTCGTACAGCTTGCCCATCCTCAGCACTGCTCCCAACACGACGACTGCTATCATTGCTGCCACCACCATCAGCGATGGCTGGACGGGGGATGCAGAAAAATAGAGGGAGATACCGGTGATGTGCACTTTTCGTGAATCGGCTCCCAATGCAATCCAGCGTTGGGGGAGAGGGGGACGAAGGGGGAGAATAAGGTGGGGAGAGGGGGAAGAGAGGGGAGAAGGGGGAGAGGGGCAAGGGCGAGGAGAACTTGCCAAGTGCAAGTGCAAGTGTATGTGTATGTGTATGTGTATGTGCATGTGCATGTGCATGTGTATGTGCATGTGTATGTGTAAGTGCATGTGCGTGTTTGCATATATCTCTGCCTATGCCCCATGCCCCGTGCCCCGTGCCCCGTGCCCTGTGAAATGTGCGTGCCTATCCACACAACTCACCACGAGAGCAGTGCAGAGGGCATATGCTGTGACCAGGGCCTGCCATACAAAGAGGAGGCGTGAGGGAGTGGGAAAGAGCAGAGGACAACGAGGGGAGAAGAGAAGTGAGTGCGAGAGGGGAAAAGAGAGTGAGAAAGGTGGAGTTTGGTGCAGAGCGATAAGTGAATCACCATGGGGGCGTCGGTGTCACTATAAGGATATTTATAAGTGAATCCACGCACTATGGTCGCCACCCACGCCATGCCCCTCGTGCTCCCCATGTGGTGGAGTGTGGTGCAGTGCAGTGGAGTGGAGTGGTGAAGTGCGGTGGAGTGCAGCATCACCATGGGGGCATCGGGGTCACTGTAGGTGAATTCCACAGGAGCAGTCATGGTGAATCCGCCCACTATAGCCGCCAGCCACGCCATGGCCCTCATGTGCTCCGCCTTCTCCTCCACACTTCGCCTGTTGCACTCCTTGGTGCTGGCGGGAGGGAGGAGTAGGTGGGGTGGCATGGAGAGAATTGGGGCGTAGAGAGAGTAGGAGAAAAGAGGATGACGGTGTGTCACGCCATGGCCCTCATGTGCTCCGCTCTGCCTTCTCCTCCACACTGCGCCTGTTGCACTCCTTGGTGCTGGCAGCGGGTGGAGGAGTGGGGAAGGAAGGAGGCAGCGGGGGCAGAGTGGGCGGCAGAGAGTGGGGCGAAAGGTAGATGAGCTACGAGGAGTGGGTGCAGGTGCCATGCCACACGCCATGGCCCTCTTGTGCTCCGCCTTCTCCTCCACGCTTCGCCTGTTGCACTCCTTGATACTGGTGGCAAGGGGAGAAGGGGGGGGAGGAAGGGAAGGGAGTGAGGCGGAGTGGGTAGAGCCACCCGTTCAGAGCCACGGGGAAAAGGCCACACTGGATTCGCCCTAGAAATTTCTCAAAAGGGAATGCGAGATAGTAAGAGACTGTACTCACACTAAAGCGTGCACCTCGGCCATTTTTCTCAAACCCACTTTTCTCTCCTTGTTTGTACTGTACTCCTCCCCCTTGGTTTTCCATCTCCTCTGCTTTGTCTTCCAAACTCCCCCCACACCCCCCCCAGATACACTGCATTGAGACGCTCTTGGATACACCGCCACCGCTGTGCCTCCTCCTTACCGGTTCCACAGGTGCATGGCGTTGTCCACGTGGCGCTGCTGCATTATCTCGTGGCGCCACCTGGCGAGAGGGCATTGGAGGAGGGAAAGCGCAGGATTGGATGCAGAGGGCTTCGCAGGTGAAATACGAAAACTTGTTAGAAGCACACACGCTAGAGACATACCCGTTAGAAAAACGCCCGCTAGAAGCACACCTGTGTCGCACAGCGCGGAACATCCGCTCCTCCGTTTTGAATCGCCTCTCCTCCGCGCGGAACGCCACGTCATCCGCGCGCCACCGGCGCACCTCCTCCCGCCACTGCCGCTCCTCCTTCCGCCAGTCCCGCGCCGTCCACGTGTCCAGCGCCGTCAGCGCCGCTTGCGCCATGACGGCCGCGCCGCGTCGCGCTTTTCTTGTGCGCGCGCTGCTGCACGACCAGTTTCGATTTGACTAGTTACGACATGGGCGTTAAGTGTCAGCGTCGCTCCCCATTGTTGCGACGGTCGAAGCATAGGGTCGTTGGAAACGTATTCTAGATTGCCTCCTTGATTACTCTGTCTGAGTAATGGTGGGATTCTTGCGTCCTGAAGGATGACAGTGAGCGAGCAGAGTGGAAGCTGCACTGTTGTTCGGACATTTCTCAGAACCAATCTATTATCCAAGTTGTCATGCTGTTATCCTTTGTTTGTATAAAGCACAATGGTTCTGAAATGCACAGCACCACGAAATATTCGCTGTTACAGCATATAACGCGTACAAACCCCCCTGAACCTCATCCTCCTCATCACCACCATCCCTCCACTAACATGACTACGGGAACTCGGCTTTATTTTCCCTAGCTCCAACATTAATTTCGTGTCGTGCTGACCTGGCAGCATTGTCCTGGTTGCTCCGCCTGTGAACTTCGCGGTCGAAGGGAATTCGACCAGACGAGGTCGCGTTGAAATTCCTGGTGATCTCCGCCAATACTGACCGTCGATCGATCTCGAGACCTTTGATCAGTCTCGACCGTCAATCACCTTCAGGCGTCGATCAATCCCGGCCGTTTGAACAATCTCGATCGTCGATTAGTCCTCAGACCCTCAATCAGTACTGGACGTCTGTATTGGATTGTATAAAAGCCAGCGGCCATGGGTGTCCTGGAGAGGATCAAGGAGATCGAGCTGGAAATGGGGCGCACGCAGAAGAACAAAGCCACAGGTGAGTGCCACTGCCAGTGGTTAATCCCACGGCTGTATACTACGGGTGTCCCAGGGGTGGGTGTGTGAGTTGGGCTGGCAGCGTGCATGCATCCGAGTGTGTGTGTTTGGAGTTGACTCGGTGGTGCCTGGAGAAGATAAATAAAGGAGATCGAGCTGGAAATGGGGCGCACGCAGAAGAACAAAGCCACGGGTGAGTCCCACGGGTGAATGCTTCGGATAGGTGTGAAGGGTGGTGGGTGTGACGGTTGGTGCAGGTGTGAATTCATTCAGGCAGATTTCACATCACATCACTTGGTGATTGCGCTGTCATCATGATGTCATGATGATCGTATCGCATTATGATCATGGGGGTGTCATGACTGCAGCTGCCTCGTTGTCGCATGCATACGTATGGATTTGATAAACTCCTTGTCGCCTGGTCGCCTGATTCCCTGGTCGCGTGATCGCATGGTCGCACGCCCCGTACGCCGCAAGTGCCTTTGTTCCCTTGTACTTGCTTCCCCTCTGTATTGCCATCTACGTGTTTATTACATCCTCGTTATTGTCTCTCTCGTTATCCCCGACGTGCAGAATACCATCTGGGTCAGCTCAAGGCGAAACTAGCTCGTCTGCGAACACAGCTGCTCGAACCAGCCAAGGTGCGGTCTGTACGCCATATAAGCCGTGCTCGTGATCAAGAGTGCGGTTTGTACTCCACCAAGCGTGTGTTTCATAAAATCAGCTTCTGAAACTAGCCAAGGTGTGGTCTGTACACGGCATAAGTAGTGCATCTTAACGATTCAGCTTATGGTCTACGGAGGCGGCTTACTACAAGCTGTTTGACAGGCCCAATCGGCTCGCACCGCCGCTCACCGCCTCTCACCAGCTCACATCAGCTCAGAGGCTGCAGATGTGGAGAGCATTCAAAGAAAGGGGGGTTGGGGCAGCATACGAGTCGGTCGCTCACGATTCTGCACCTGAGGTGACCAAGTTTGGCACGGGAAGTGAAGGCTAACGGGTCTCCTGAAAGTGCTGGAGAACAACTTCCGTCACATTCACACCCCCTCTCTTCCCGTCACCACACCCCTCCCTGCCTGCAGAGCCCGTCAGGGGCGGGCGAGGGGTTTGAGGTGACCAAGTTTGGGCACGGGCGGGTGGCTCTTATTGGCTTCCCCAGCGTGGAAAAGTCCACCCTCCTCACCGTGCTCACTGGCACGCACTCAGAGGCAGCAGCGTACGAGTTCACGACTGAGGGAGGGGTTCCTTGCCTTTGACCTCTGGCCTCCCTGCTGCCCCCACCTCTGCCTGCAGGGTTCCTCGGGAGCGGGCGGGGGGTTTGAGGTGACCAAGTTTGGCCACAGGCGGGTGGCGCTCATCGGCTTTCCCAGCGAGGGAAAATCAACTCTCCTCACCGTGCTCACTGGCACGCGCAGCAGCGTATGAGTTCACGACTGAGGGAGAGGCTCCTTGCTTGCTCCCCCCTCTCTCTAACCTCCCTGCTTCCTCCCGTGCCTCTCTCCTCCCTTGTACCCCCTCCCCTGTTTGCAGGGTTCGTCAGGGGCGGGCGAGGGGTTTGAGATGACCAAGTTCGGGCTCGGCCGAGTGGCTCTCATTGGTTTCCCCAGTGTTGGAAAATCAACCCTCCTCACCGTGCTCACTGGCACGCGCTCAGAGGCAGCAGCGTATGAGTTCACGACTGAGGGAGAGGCTCCTTGCTTGCTCCCCCCTCTCTCTAACCTCCCTGCTTCCTCCCGTGCCTCTCTCCTCCCTTGTACCCCCTCCCCTGTTTGCAGGGTTCGTCAGGGGCGGGCGAGGGGTTTGAGATGACCAAGTTCGGGCACGGCCGAGTGGCTCTCATTGGTTTCCCCAGTGTTGGAAAATCAACCCTCCTCACCGTGCTCACTGGCACTTGCTCAGAGGCAGGGAGGAACTATTTGCTAGCTTCTCCCCTCTCCCTCTAACCTCCCTGCTTCCCCCTGTGCCTCTCTCCCCTGTGCCCCTCCCCCCTGTCTGCAGGGTTCGTCAGGGGCGGGCGAGGGGTTTGAGGTGACCAAGTTTGGGCACGGGCGAGTGGCACTCATCGGCTTTCCTAGCGTGGGAAAGTCCACCCTCCTCACTGTCCTCACTGGCACGCGCTCAGAGGCGGCCGCGTACGAGTTCACCACGCTGACGTGCATCCCTGGGATCATTAATTACAATGATACTAAGATTCAGCTGCTGGACTTGCCGGGGATTATCGAGGGCGCGTCTCAGGGCAAGGGGCGCGGGAGACAGGTGGGTGGGGGTTGGGGAGGAGTCTGGGGCGCGTTGCGAGATAGGAGAGAGTGAGTGAGTGAGAGAGTGACAGTGAGAGAGGGGGGCGCAAGGCAGCAGCGTACGAGTTCACCACGCTGACGTGCATCCCTTGGATTATTAACTACAATGATACGAAGATTCAGCTGCTAGACTTGCTGGGAATCATTGAGGGCGCGTCCCAGGGCAAGGGACGTGGGAGACAGGTGGGAGGGGGGTTTGGTGTGTGTGTGAGAGAGAGGAGAGAGTGAGTGAGTGAGGGAGTGAGGGAGAGGGTGAGGGTGAGGGGGAAGGCAGCCGTGTACGAGTTCACGACGCTGACGTGCATCCTGGGCATCATCAACTATAACGACACCAAGATTCAGCTGCTGGACCTGCCGGGAATCATTGAGGGCGCGTCGCAGGGCAAGGGGCGCGGGAGACAGGTGGGTGGGGAAGGCGGTGGGGGGAGGGAAATTATATGGGGGTATCTGTGTGAGAGAGTGCGTGAGTGAGTGGTATTTATCAGGTCTGGTGGCTTTTCCCTCTTAACCTTCTCATCATATTCCTGCTCTCTTGCACTCTCGTTTTCTTAATCTCCCCTGCCTGCCTGCCTGCCTGCCTGCCTGCCTGCCTGCCTGCCTGCCTGCCTGCCTGCCTGCCTGCCTGCCTGCCTGCCTGCCTGCCTGCCTGCCTGCCTGCCTGCCTGCCTGCCTGCCTGCCTGCCTGCCCGCCTGCCTGCCTGCCTGCCTGCTTGCCTGCCTGCCTGCCTGCCTACAATTCTCTCCCTCCCGGACTGGCTCGTTCCCATCAGGTCATTGCAGTCGCCAAGTCATCTGGCCTCAACCCTGAACTGGTCATGGTGCTCGACTCCCTGAACTCAACCCCCTCCTCCTCTTCTCTTTTTTCCTGTCCTCTTTTTTTCCTTCCCTGCCTGTCTGCCTCCTCCCCATCAGGTCATTGCAGTCGCCAAGTCATCTGATCTCGTGCTCATGGTGCTCGATGCCTCCAAGGTGAGAGGCTCTGGTTCGGTTATGTGCTTCAGAGGTCTCTGAACTGAAAACAGCACCTTGCACAGCCAAGCCAAGTCATCCGATCTCGTGCTCATGGTGCTCGATGCCTCCAAGGTGAGTGGCTCTGGTCTGCTTAGGTGCTTTCGAAAGTTCTGGAAAAAAAGCACCTTGCACAGCCAGGTCCTCTGACCTCGTGCTCATGGTGCTCGATATCTCCAAGGTCAGACCAAAGTGATGTTTGTTCAATTGTTCCAAAAGCACCCTGTAAAAAAAAAAAAAAAAAAAAAAGATACATTGTTTTTGCAAATCCACACAAGTTTTCTGTGTTTTGTCAAATCTTTTGGTTTTTGTCGCAATGCAACCCACCCCCCCTCTTCCCCCTTCCACGGCTCTCCTCAACCCTTTCTCTGTCTTCAGACCGAGGCCCACCGTCAGATTCTAACCAAGGAGCTCGAATCCGTGGGGCTGCGTCTGAACAAGCAGCCGCCCAATGTGAGCCTGGGAGGGGGGTAGCGAGAGGTTGTGCGGCCTGGGAGACGGGGCTGGTGGGTTGATGAAGAGTTTCTGGGAGACTGTGGTGGTGTGGTGGCGTCACCGGAATGGGCTGGTCTGGCAACGAGTCAGTGGGGCACACACAATGTCTGTACGGCTGCTTGTTGGGTTGTGCCTCAACAATCAGCCACCCTTCTTTCCGATCAAATCCATATCAAGAAGATGAAGACGGGTGGCATCTCCCTCAATCCACTCCTCTATCACACCCCGCTTCACCACTCCTCACCCCACCACCGCCCCCCGCTTTCCCCATCAGATCTAGTTCAAGAAGAAAAAGACAGGTGGCATTTCATTCAACTCCACAGGCCCACTCTCGCACATTGATAAGAAGCTCTGTTATCAGCTTTCTCACTCGCTGCCCCACACTCCCGTTCCGCCTTCCGCCCCTCACCACTCATCCCCCCTCTTGCCATCAGATCTACTTTAAGAAGAAGAAGACGGGCGGCATTTCCTTCAACTCCACGGGCCCTCTCTCGCACATAGATGAGAAGCTGTGCTACCAGATTCTGCACGAGTACAAGATTCATAACGCTGAGGTGCGTCCATAGGGCACATGCATGGTGCGCAGTAAAAGCACGGACGAGTACCCCTCTCTCACACAGTGACGAGAAGCTGTGCTACCAGATCCTGCACGAGTACAAGACACCATGGCTGTGCGCTTTATTGATTGAGGTTGTTTTTGAATTTGCTTGGATCAAATGTGCCTGTATTGAGAGTGATTTTACTGGATGTGTCTGTATCAGAACCACTTCTTGCGCCCCAGGTGGTGCTATTCAGTGAGGACAGCACAGTGGACTGTTCTCATTAATGTGATTGAGTGCAAATGGTTGTGATTGTACCAAATGCATTTTCATCGTATCTCCTTCCACCGCAGGTGCTATTCCGCAAGGACAGCACAGTGATCGACGCTTCTATTGAATATTCTTTTGAGTTGTATATTCTTTTGTCAAGTTCGCTTATATTGCATGTGCTTGTATCAAGTCTCCTTCCAAATCAGGTGCTACTCCGCGAGGACAGCACAGTGGATGGTCTGATTGACGTCATCGCGGGAAAGTGTTTGTTTATGTATCAATAGTGCCTGTATCGAATGTGTTTGTTTATGTATCAATAGTGCCTGTATCGAATGTGTTTGTTTATGTATCAGTAGTGCCTGTATCGAATGTGTTTGTTTATGTATCAATAGTGCCTGTATCGAATGTGTTTGTTTATGTATCAATAGTGCCTGTATCGAATGTGTTTGTTTATGTATCAATAGTGCCTGTATCGAATGTGTTTGTTTATGTATCAATAGTGCCTGTATCGAATGTGTTTGTTTATGTATCAATAGTGCCTGTATCGAATGTGTTTGTTTATGTATCAATAGTGCCTGTATCGAATGTGTTTGTCTGGACTTTCCTTCTTCCACCGCAGGTGCTATTCCGCGAGGACAGCACGGTGGACGATCTCATCGACGTGATTGAAGGAAATCGCAAGTACATTCGGTGCCTCTACGTGTACAACAAGATTGATGTCATGGGCATAGACGACGTTGACAGGCTGGCGAGACAGCCGCACTCAGTTGTGATTTCTGCTAATCTCGAGGTGAGATTGGGTTTGGGTTTGACAGGTGGGTGCAGCATACAATGAGAGGGCAGTTGCAAGTACATTCGGTGCCTCTACGTGTACAACAAGGGTGACGTGATGGGGATAGACGACGTTGATCGCTTAGCAATACAGCCCCACTCTGTGGTCATTTCCGCCAATCTCGAGGTCAGTGTTGAGTGTGATCAGTATGCACAGTGTGAATGAGAGGGCAACCGCAAGTACATGTGGTGCCTCTACGTGTACAACAAGGGTGACGTGATGGGCATAGACGATGTGGATCGCCTGGCCAGGCAGCCCCATTCTGTGGTCATCTCCGCCAGTCTCGAGGTGAGTACTTGGTGCTGGTTCGGCTAAGTGGGCACGTTGTTCCTGTCCTCGTATAAGATAGAGCAATCAGCAATTGCGGTCTCGTTCCCCCCTGAACCCTTGCAGTCTCGTTCCCCCCTGAACCCTTGCAGTCTCGTTCCCCCCTGAACCCTTGCGGTCTCGTTCCCCCCTGAACCCTTGCAGTCTCGTTCCCCCCTGAACCCTTGCAGTCTCGTTCCCCCCTGAACCCTTGCAGTCTCGTTCCCCCCTGAACCCTTGCAGTCTCTTTCCCCCCTGAACCCTTGCAGTCTCGTTCCCCCCTGAACCCTTGCAGTCTCGTTCCCCCCTGAACCCTTGCGGTCTCGTTCCCCCCTGAACCCATTCACTATATCCTCCCCCGGACTTTCCTTTCTTGTACAGCTCAACATGGATCATCTGTTGGCGCGCATATGGGAGGAGATGGGGCTCGTGCGAGTGTACACATGCAAGGCTCAGGCACAAACCTGCCCACATCCACCAACCTCCCTCCCTCTCCCTTCCTGCTTCCCCTTTCCCCTTCCCCCCTTCCTCAGCTGAACATGGATCATCTGTTGGCGCGCATGTGGGAGGAGATGGGTCTTGTGCGAGTCTACACCAAGCCACAGGGCCAGCAGCCCGACTTTGCTGACCCTGTCGTGCTCTCCACCGTAAGTTCTCCCTCTGCACCACACTGCACCTCTTTCTAAACACAGTCACCACTCTCCACGTGAGTCTGTCAATGGGCCTCACTCACTGGAGGAGATGGGTCTCGTGCGAGTGTACACCAAGCGAGGGGCCAGCAGGCCAACGTTGAAGACCATGTGTGCACTCCACCTGCACCGTGAGTGCCCGCCCTGCAAGGTGACTTTTGAGTCGACTCAAAAGTCACCTCGTGACGATGTCCTCTACATGTGTGCAGTGACTTTTGAGTCGACTCAAAAGTCACCTCGTGACGATGTCCTCTACATGTGTGCAGTGACTTTTGAGTCGACTCAAAAGTCACCTCGTGACGATGTCCTCTACATGTGTGCAGTGACTTTTGAGTCGACTCAAAAGTCACCTCGTGACGATGTCCTCTACATGTGTGCAGTGACTTTTGAGTCGACTCAAAAGTCACCTCGTGACGATGTCCTCTACATGTGTGCAGTGACTTTTGAGTCGACTCAAAAGTCACCTCGTGACGATGTCCTCTACATGTGTGCAGTGACTTTTGAGTCGACTCAAAAGTCACCTCGTGACGATGTCCTCTACATGTGTGCAGTGACTTTTGAGTCGACTCAAAAGTCACCTCGTGACGATGTCCTCTACATGTGTGCAGTGACTTTTGAGTCGACTCAAAAGTCACCTCGTGACGATGTCCTCTACATGTGTGCAGTGACTTTTGAGTCGACTCAAAAGTCACCTCGTGACGATGTCCTCTACATGTGTGCAGTGACTTTTGAGTCGACTCAAAAGTCACCTCGTGACGATGTCCTCTACATGTGTGCAGTGACTTTTGAGTCGACTCAAAAGTCACCTCGTGACGATGTCCTCTACATGTGTGCAGTGACTTTTGAGTCGACTCAAAAGTCACCTCGTGACGATGTCCTCTACATGTGTGCAGTGACTTTTGAGTCGACTCAAAAGTCACCTCGTGACGATGTCCTCTACATGTGTGCAGTGACTTTTGAGTCGACTCAAAAGTCACCTCGTGACGATGTCCTCTACATGTGTGCAGTGACTTTTGAGTCGACTCAAAAGTCACCTCGTGACGATGTCCTCTACATGTGTGCAGTGACTTTTGAGTCGACTCAAAAGTCACCTCGTGACGATGTCCTCTACATGTGTGCAGTGACTTTTGAGTCGACTCAAAAGTCACCTCGTGACGATGTCCTCTACATGTGTGCAGTGACTTTTGAGTCGACTCAAAAGTCACCTCGTGACGATGTCCTCTACATGTGTGCAGTGACTTTTGAGTCGACTCAAAAGTCACCTCGTGACGATGTCCTCTACATGTGTGCAGTGACTTTTGAGTCGACTCAAAAGTCACCTCGTGACGATGTCCTCTACATGTGTGCAGTGACTTTTGAGTCGACTCAAAAGTCACCTCGTGACGATGTCCTCTACATGTGTGCAGTGACTTTTGAGTCGACTCAAAAGTCACCTCGTGACGATGTCCTCTACATGTGTGCAGTGACTTTTGAGTCGACTCAAAAGTCACCTCGTGACGATGTCCTCTACATGTGTGCAGTGACTTTTGAGTCGACTCAAAAGTCACCTCGTGACGATGTCCTCTACATGTGTGCAGTGACTTTTGAGTCGACTCAAAAGTCACCTCGTGACGATGTCCTCTACATGTGTGCAGTGACTTTTGAGTCGACTCAAAAGTCACCTCGTGACGATGTCCTCTACATGTGTGCAGTGACTTTTGAGTCGACTCAAAAGTCACCTCGTGACGATGTCCTCTACATGTGTGCAGTGACTTTTGAGTCGACTCAAAAGTCACCTCGTGACGATGTCCTCTACATGTGTGCAGTGACTTTTGAGTCGACTCAAAAGTCACCTCGTGACGATGTCCTCTACATGTGTGCAGTGACTTTTGAGTCGACTCAAAAGTCACCTCGTGACGATGTCCTCTACATGTGTGCAGTGACTTTTGAGTCGACTCAAAAGTCACCTCGTGACGATGTCCTCTACATGTGTGCAGTGACTTTTGAGTCGACTCAAAAGTCACCTCGTGACGATGTCCTCTACATGTGTGCAGTGACTTTTGAGTCGACTCAAAAGTCACCTCGTGACGATGTCCTCTACATGTGTGCAGTGACTTTTGAGTCGACTCAAAAGTCACCTCGTGACGATGTCCTCTACATGTGTGCAGTGACTTTTGAGTCGACTCAAAAGTCACCTCGTGACGATGTCCTCTACATGTGTGCAGTGACTTTTGAGTCGACTCAAAAGTCACCTCGTGACGATGTCCTCTACATGTGTGCAGTGACTTTTGAGTCGACTCAAAAGTCACCTCGTGACGATGTCCTCTACATGTGTGCAGTGACTTTTGAGTCGACTCAAAAGTCACCTCGTGACGATGTCCTCTACATGTGTGCAGTGACTTTTGAGTCGACTCAAAAGTCACCTCGTGACGATGTCCTCTACATGTGTGCAGTGACTTTTGAGTCGACTCAAAAGTCACCTCGTGACGATGTCCTCTACATGTGTGCAGTGACTTTTGAGTCGACTCAAAAGTCACCTCGTGACGATGTCCTCTACATGTGTGCAGTGACTTTTGAGTCGACTCAAAAGTCACCTCGTGACGATGTCCTCTACATGTGTGCAGTGACTTTTGAGTCGACTCAAAAGTCACCTCGTGACGATGTCCTCTACATGTGTGCAGTGACTTTTGAGTCGACTCAAAAGTCACCTCGTGACGATGTCCTCTACATGTGTGCAGTGACTTTTGAGTCGACTCAAAAGTCACCTCGTGACGATGTCCTCTACATGTGTGCAGTGACTTTTGAGTCGACTCAAAAGTCACCTCGTGACGATGTCCTCTACATGTGTGCAGTGACTTTTGAGTCGACTCAAAAGTCACCTCGTGACGATGTCCTCTACATGTGTGCAGTGACTTTTGAGTCGACTCAAAAGTCACCTCGTGACGATGTCCTCTACATGTGTGCAGTGACTTTTGAGTCGACTCAAAAGTCACCTCGTGACGATGTCCTCTACATGTGTGCAGTGACTTTTGAGTCGACTCAAAAGTCACCTCGTGACGATGTCCTCTACATGTGTGCAGTGACTTTTGAGTCGACTCAAAAGTCACCTCGTGACGATGTCCTCTACATGTGTGCAGTGACTTTTGAGTCGACTCAAAAGTCACCTCGTGACGATGTCCTCTACATGTGTGCAGTGACTTTTGAGTCGACTCAAAAGTCACCTCGTGACGATGTCCTCTACATGTGTGCAGTGACTTTTGAGTCGACTCAAAAGTCACCTCGTGACGATGTCCTCTACATGTGTGCAGTGACTTTTGAGTCGACTCAAAAGTCACCTCGTGACGATGTCCTCTACATGTGTGCAGTGACTTTTGAGTCGACTCAAAAGTCACCTCGTGACGATGTCCTCTACATGTGTGCAGTGACTTTTGAGTCGACTCAAAAGTCACCTCGTGACGATGTCCTCTACATGTGTGCAGTGACTTTTGAGTCGACTCAAAAGTCACCTCGTGACGATGTCCTCTACATGTGTGCAGTGACTTTTGAGTCGACTCAAAAGTCACCTCGTGACGATGTCCTCTACATGTGTGCAGTGACTTTTGAGTCGACTCAAAAGTCACCTCGTGACGATGTCCTCTACATGTGTGCAGTGACTTTTGAGTCGACTCAAAAGTCACCTCGTGACGATGTCCTCTACATGTGTGCAGTGACTTTTGAGTCGACTCAAAAGTCACCTCGTGACGATGTCCTCTACATGTGTGCAGTGACTTTTGAGTCGACTCAAAAGTCACCTCGTGACGATGTCCTCTACATGTGTGCAGTGACTTTTGAGTCGACTCAAAAGTCACCTCGTGACGATGTCCTCTACATGTGTGCAGTGACTTTTGAGTCGACTCAAAAGTCACCTCGTGACGATGTCCTCTACATGTGTGCAGTGACTTTTGAGTCGACTCAAAAGTCACCTCGTGACGATGTCCTCTACATGTGTGCAGTGACTTTTGAGTCGACTCAAAAGTCACCTCGTGACGATGTCCTCTACATGTGTGCAGTGACTTTTGAGTCGACTCAAAAGTCACCTCGTGACGATGTCCTCTACATGTGTGCAGTGACTTTTGAGTCGACTCAAAAGTCACCTCGTGACGATGTCCTCTACATGTGTGCAGTGACTTTTGAGTCGACTCAAAAGTCACCTCGTGACGATGTCCTCTACATGTGTGCAGTGACTTTTGAGTCGACTCAAAAGTCACCTCGTGACGATGTCCTCTACATGTGTGCAGTGACTTTTGAGTCGACTCAAAAGTCACCTCGTGACGATGTCCTCTACATGTGTGCAGTGACTTTTGAGTCGACTCAAAAGTCACCTCGTGACGATGTCCTCTACATGTGTGCAGTGACTTTTGAGTCGACTCAAAAGTCACCTCGTGACGATGTCCTCTACATGTGTGCAGTGACTTTTGAGTCGACTCAAAAGTCACCTCGTGACGATGTCCTCTACATGTGTGCAGTGACTTTTGAGTCGACTCAAAAGTCACCTCGTGACGATGTCCTCTACATGTGTGCAGTGACTTTTGAGTCGACTCAAAAGTCACCTCGTGACGATGTCCTCTACATGTGTGCAGTGACTTTTGAGTCGACTCAAAAGTCACCTCGTGACGATGTCCTCTACATGTGTGCAGTGACTTTTGAGTCGACTCAAAAGTCACCTCGTGACGATGTCCTCTACATGTGTGCAGTGACTTTTGAGTCGACTCAAAAGTCACCTCGTGACGATGTCCTCTACATGTGTGCAGTGACTTTTGAGTCGACTCAAAAGTCACCTCGTGACGATGTCCTCTACATGTGTGCAGTGACTTTTGAGTCGACTCAAAAGTCACCTCGTGACGATGTCCTCTACATGTGTGCAGTGACTTTTGAGTCGACTCAAAAGTCACCTCGTGACGATGTCCTCTACATGTGTGCAGTGACTTTTGAGTCGACTCAAAAGTCACCTCGTGACGATGTCCTCTACATGTGTGCAGTGACTTTTGAGTCGACTCAAAAGTCACCTCGTGACGATGTCCTCTACATGTGTGCAGTGACTTTTGAGTCGACTCAAAAGTCACCTCGTGACGATGTCCTCTACATGTGTGCAGTGACTTTTGAGTCGACTCAAAAGTCACCTCGTGACGATGTCCTCTACATGTGTGCAGTGACTTTTGAGTCGACTCAAAAGTCACCTCGTGACGATGTCCTCTACATGTGTGCAGTGACTTTTGAGTCGACTCAAAAGTCACCTCGTGACGATGTCCTCTACATGTGTGCAGTGACTTTTGAGTCGACTCAAAAGTCACCTCGTGACGATGTCCTCTACATGTGTGCAGTGACTTTTGAGTCGACTCAAAAGTCACCTCGTGACGATGTCCTCTACATGTGTGCAGTGACTTTTGAGTCGACTCAAAAGTCACCTCGTGACGATGTCCTCTACATGTGTGCAGTGACTTTTGAGTCGACTCAAAAGTCACCTCGTGACGATGTCCTCTACATGTGTGCAGTGACTTTTGAGTCGACTCAAAAGTCACCTCGTGACGATGTCCTCTACATGTGTGCAGTGACTTTTGAGTCGACTCAAAAGTCACCTCGTGACGATGTCCTCTACATGTGTGCAGTGACTTTTGAGTCGACTCAAAAGTCACCTCGTGACGATGTCCTCTACATGTGTGCAGTGACTTTTGAGTCGACTCAAAAGTCACCTCGTGACGATGTCCTCTACATGTGTGCAGTGACTTTTGAGTCGACTCAAAAGTCACCTCGTGACGATGTCCTCTACATGTGTGCAGTGACTTTTGAGTCGACTCAAAAGTCACCTCGTGACGATGTCCTCTACATGTGTGCAGTGACTTTTGAGTCGACTCAAAAGTCACCTCGTGACGATGTCCTCTACATGTGTGCAGTGACTTTTGAGTCGACTCAAAAGTCACCTCGTGACGATGTCCTCTACATGTGTGCAGTGACTTTTGAGTCGACTCAAAAGTCACCTCGTGACGATGTCCTCTACATGTGTGCAGTGACTTTTGAGTCGACTCAAAAGTCACCTCGTGACGATGTCCTCTACATGTGTGCAGTGACTTTTGAGTCGACTCAAAAGTCACCTCGTGACGATGTCCTCTACATGTGTGCAGTGACTTTTGAGTCGACTCAAAAGTCACCTCGTGACGATGTCCTCTACATGTGTGCAGTGACTTTTGAGTCGACTCAAAAGTCACCTCGTGACGATGTCCTCTACATGTGTGCAGTGACTTTTGAGTCGACTCAAAAGTCACCTCGTGACGATGTCCTCTACATGTGTGCAGTGACTTTTGAGTCGACTCAAAAGTCACCTCGTGACGATGTCCTCTACATGTGTGCAGTGACTTTTGAGTCGACTCAAAAGTCACCTCGTGACGATGTCCTCTACATGTGTGCAGTGACTTTTGAGTCGACTCAAAAGTCACCTCGTGACGATGTCCTCTACATGTGTGCAGTGACTTTTGAGTCGACTCAAAAGTCACCTCGTGACGATGTCCTCTACATGTGTGCAGTGACTTTTGAGTCGACTCAAAAGTCACCTCGTGACGATGTCCTCTACATGTGTGCAGTGACTTTTGAGTCGACTCAAAAGTCACCTCGTGACGATGTCCTCTACATGTGTGCAGTGACTTTTGAGTCGACTCAAAAGTCACCTCGTGACGATGTCCTCTACATGTGTGCAGTGACTTTTGAGTCGACTCAAAAGTCACCTCGTGACGATGTCCTCTACATGTGTGCAGTGACTTTTGAGTCGACTCAAAAGTCACCTCGTGACGATGTCCTCTACATGTGTGCAGTGACTTTTGAGTCGACTCAAAAGTCACCTCGTGACGATGTCCTCTACATGTGTGCAGTGACTTTTGAGTCGACTCAAAAGTCACCTCGTGACGATGTCCTCTACATGTGTGCAGTGACTTTTGAGTCGACTCAAAAGTCACCTCGTGACGATGTCCTCTACATGTGTGCAGTGACTTTTGAGTCGACTCAAAAGTCACCTCGTGACGATGTCCTCTACATGTGTGCAGTGACTTTTGAGTCGACTCAAAAGTCACCTCGTGACGATGTCCTCTACATGTGTGCAGTGACTTTTGAGTCGACTCAAAAGTCACCTCGTGACGATGTCCTCTACATGTGTGCAGTGACTTTTGAGTCGACTCAAAAGTCACCTCGTGACGATGTCCTCTACATGTGTGCAGTGACTTTTGAGTCGACTCAAAAGTCACCTCGTGACGATGTCCTCTACATGTGTGCAGTGACTTTTGAGTCGACTCAAAAGTCACCTCGTGACGATGTCCTCTACATGTGTGCAGTGACTTTTGAGTCGACTCAAAAGTCACCTCGTGACGATGTCCTCTACATGTGTGCAGTGACTTTTGAGTCGACTCAAAAGTCACCTCGTGACGATGTCCTCTACATGTGTGCAGTGACTTTTGAGTCGACTCAAAAGTCACCTCGTGACGATGTCCTCTACATGTGTGCAGTGACTTTTGAGTCGACTCAAAAGTCACCTCGTGACGATGTCCTCTACATGTGTGCAGTGACTTTTGAGTCGACTCAAAAGTCACCTCGTGACGATGTCCTCTACATGTGTGCAGTGACTTTTGAGTCGACTCAAAAGTCACCTCGTGACGATGTCCTCTACATGTGTGCAGTGACTTTTGAGTCGACTCAAAAGTCACCTCGTGACGATGTCCTCTACATGTGTGCAGTGACTTTTGAGTCGACTCAAAAGTCACCTCGTGACGATGTCCTCTACATGTGTGCAGTGACTTTTGAGTCGACTCAAAAGTCACCTCGTGACGATGTCCTCTACATGTGTGCAGTGACTTTTGAGTCGACTCAAAAGTCACCTCGTGACGATGTCCTCTACATGTGTGCAGTGACTTTTGAGTCGACTCAAAAGTCACCTCGTGACGATGTCCTCTACATGTGTGCAGTGACTTTTGAGTCGACTCAAAAGTCACCTCGTGACGATGTCCTCTACATGTGTGCAGTGACTTTTGAGTCGACTCAAAAGTCACCTCGTGACGATGTCCTCTACATGTGTGCAGTGACTTTTGAGTCGACTCAAAAGTCACCTCGTGACGATGTCCTCTACATGTGTGCAGTGACTTTTGAGTCGACTCAAAAGTCACCTCGTGACGATGTCCTCTACATGTGTGCAGTGACTTTTGAGTCGACTCAAAAGTCACCTCGTGACGATGTCCTCTACATGTGTGCAGTGACTTTTGAGTCGACTCAAAAGTCACCTCGTGACGATGTCCTCTACATGTGTGCAGTGACTTTTGAGTCGACTCAAAAGTCACCTCGTGACGATGTCCTCTACATGTGTGCAGTGACTTTTGAGTCGACTCAAAAGTCACCTCGTGACGATGTCCTCTACATGTGTGCAGTGACTTTTGAGTCGACTCAAAAGTCACCTCGTGACGATGTCCTCTACATGTGTGCAGTGACTTTTGAGTCGACTCAAAAGTCACCTCGTGACGATGTCCACTCTCCACTGTGAGTGGGTGCGCTCTACTGTGAGTGCTCTGCTCTCCACTGTGACTGCACTGGCTCTTGTGTGAGTGACTCACTGCTCTCAACACTTATTCACCCCTCTCCTCCACATGGGTTTTAGTGCCTTCACCAGCACAAACCTAAGTAGCTGCTTCTTTTTAGCATGCGTTCCTTTGTTTTGGTAAGCACATGACTTTTCATTTTTCAACTCTCCCACCCTTCTTTTTCCCCCTTCTTTTTTCATGCTTCCCAGGATCGTGGAGGGTGTACAGTGCGGGACTTCTGTGACCACATTCACAGGGGGTTGCTCAAGGATGTGAAGTATGTACTGTGCTGGGGCATAAGCGTCAAGCACTACCCGCAGCGCTGTGGCTTGGCGCATGTTCTGCAAGACGAAGATGTTGTGCAGATTGTGAAAAAGAAGGTAATGTGCCGCCTTGACTCAATCTGGATGTTGAGAGTGTGCTTGGTGAGGTGAGGCGAGATGGTTATTCCCGCACTACCCGCAGCGCTGCGGCTTGGCGCATGTTCTGCTGGATGAGGATGTCGTGCAGATCGTGAAAAAGAAGGTAATGTTCCGTCTTGATTCTATCTGGATGTTGAAAGTGTGCGAGGACACCATGTTTTTTTTTTAGGGAGGGGGGTGGGGAGGGTGGGTCGGAGGAAGGGGAGGAGTGGTGGTGAGGTGGGGGGAAAGAGGTAATGGTTTGTCTCATGAGGTGAGGTGGTTATTACTCTGACATAATGGGTGTGTTGTGTCTGTTACTTGGTGTGGCAGGAAACGGAGGAGGAAGGCCGTGGAAGATTCAAGACACACGTTGACGGACCTGCAAGGATAGCTGACCGAGTGAAGAAGGCACCTTTGAAACAATGACCTTGTTACGGTACCTGTAATTAGATTCTAGTATACTTATGGGATGGGATTACCGCAAGGAATGGATATGTGTTCTTTTTGTGAAATTTCTGATGCAGTAAACGTTTTCTGGTAACCTGTGTCCAGTTTAAGCCATTCAACATGCCACTTGAGCATCTAGGTTCATGAGTAGTGGAGCAAGGAACTGAGAAAAGAATGTGAACCACCTAAGGAAGCTGGTTAGTTGGTAAGTTTACTTATGAGGTCATAATATCGAATCAAGCCGCTGTGTTTTTCTATTCGATCTCTACTGCAATCAAAGCGGTCTCTGCTGAAGCTGTGCCTATTTCAAGCCAGTCAATCTGCCACGTTGGCAGAGAGATTCATGAATCTTGCACCATTCAACTCCACTTTGATTGTGCAACCAGTGAAGGACAGATCCACGTATGCATGAATCTTCCTACAAAACTGATTCCAAACACGTGCTGGCGACTTGCAACCCTTGTTTCCAATTTGCTACGGTCGCAACCATTCCGAGGACTTCATTTGAGCCCTCACGACGTCGCAGTTCTTCTTCGCTGATCTCGGAAGCTTAGGCGGCCTGCAGACGTGGCAAAGTTTTGTGGCATCCTGAGTACAGTAGACTGGCAAACAGAACATTCTAGTTTCCCGCCAAAAGTTGGGAATTTCTTGTGACTTCACCCTTACCTCAAACAATCATCAATTATCGATCTCCGAAGACTGATAAGCTTTATAAATACCTTTTACTCCCTTACTGACTCTTATCTCCACAGCCTCACACGACCGAAATAGTGACTCAGTCGTAGGTCGCTCATTCAGCCAGCTCAGTCCGCCCCTCGCAAAAGGCGCCATGGCGGCTCTCAGCAGTTCCATCCCCGCCTTTTCCGGCCTCCGCGCCGCTGCTCCCGCAAAGGCGGTCAAGATTGCGCACAAGGCTCAGTGTGCTCGTCGCGCTGCGCCAGCCTTCGTGGCGTCTTCCACCAGCGGCAGCGAATCCGTCACGTCGCAGGCGTCGCAGACGCTTTTCGCGAGCGTTTCCGAGTCCACAGCCGCTGCGCCTTCCGTTCCCGCTTCATCGCCAGGGGGAGTCATCGTTCCCGCGTTGCTTGGCGCGGGAGTCCTGGGCGGTGCGACGTTCGCGCTAGTGTCTAAGGCAGTTAAGCCAGCAGCCAGTGCGGCTCCGGCGGTGGGGACTCCCGCCAATGGCGCTGCCGTTTCGCGCGCTAAGAGGGTACGTTTTGGGGTTGCTCATTTCTTTCAAAATTATGATTATGAGACGACTCGCTCTGAATCTCAAATTTTCTTCACGAACGTTCCTCCAGTACAACCTCACAAGATTTGTAGTATCTGCAGTAATAAAGGAACGGTATAAAGAACTCTAGACTAACAGCTCACAATGATTCTGGTTTATAAAACCTTCACCTATTTCCCTTCATCCCAACCCCCTACCTCCTCAGGCGGCCCCCGCGGCGCTAGCGACAATGGCGGCGACGTTCCCGAACGCGATGCAGGAGGAGATGTTAATGCACGCCGTGGCGGACGAGCTGCGCAACCTCGGCTTTAAGCGCGACAACTGCATCACGTCGTTTGGCTCATTCACGTTACATTTCTGTATTCTAACCCTCGCTCTATCCGGTTTTTTCTCCTCCTTTTCTCCCCCTCCCCTCCCCTCCCGTCCCCCGTCCCTTCCCCCGGTCCCTCCTCTCCGCTTCCCCCTCTCAGGCCGCGCCCGCAGCGCTAGCGACAATGGCGGCGACGTTCCCGAACGCGATGCAGGAGGAGATGTTCATGCACGCCGTGGCGGACGAGCTGCGCAACCTCGGCTTTAAGCGCGACAACTGCATCGCGCTCGTCAACACGTGTCGCGACGAGGTCTGCCGCCCCATCGTGAACCTCATCGATAAGGAGTTTGGGCTCAGCTTTAACATCGCGGGGCTGGGTGGGCTCGTGAACTGCGGAAAGACGGGGTTCAAGGCTGCGATGAGCCACTCGCCGGAGTTCCCCTGCGAAACCGACGGGAAGCCTCGCGAAAGATGTAAGTGGTAACCCGTTGGAGAGTTTTGTTGTCAAGGCCAGACTGCGGGTTCAAGACAGCCATGATCCACTCCCAGAAATCCTGTAACCCCCGTGCGAAACAAATGTGCTGCTTTCATTTGTACCGAATTCTTTCCTTACTCTTCCTCGCTCTCAACCTTCGTGCCTCTGGTGCTACATTTCTCCAATTCTTTTCCCGTTCCAGACATCTTCTTCGGCTTCCCCCACGTGTCTATCGGAGAGAGCGGCGAGGTGGGGTCGCTTCTTCGCCGTGGGCGCGGCAAGCCGTCATCGGCGTGCGGAGCGCTGATCGCCATTCAAGGCGACATCTCCGCTGGAGGCGAGATTGAGGAGGACCCGAACAACGCGGAATACGTTCTGCTGAAAAAGAAGATCGCCGCTAAGGTGTGTTTGTGGTGACGAGAGGTTGGGGGGGAGGGAACGGGTTGGAGGGGGGTGTTTCTTAGTGTACTCAAGCTCAGACGAGATTGAGGAGGACCCCAACGACGCTTGCTGCTAAGGTGTGTTCGAGGTGAAGGGAGGCCGGGGGGAGGGGGGTTTGAGGTGTGGGGGGTTGTAGGGTGAAAATGGTGGTTGGGAGTGCGGTTGTGTGCATTATTCAGCGCAGATGTGTGCTGGGGACTTCTCACTAAAACACTGAAATCGCAGAAAATCAATTATCCTTGTGATCGGATGACTAGAGGGATCATTGGGAGGGGTGCGGTACAGTGAGAGTGTAGATGGGCATGGATGAATGAAGAGGTGAACAAGGGAGAACAATGACATGAGTACATTGAGAATGAACGTATATGGCCTGTGATAGGGAATCTAGGCAGCATCTGCCCAGAAACTAAAGGCTATCCAGCAGCGGCAGCGGCTTCTGGATTTATGGCATGATGCTGTCTGCCTTGTATTACCTAATCTGATCAGGCTAACCCTTTTTTCCCCTCCCCTCCTTCCCCTCCTCCCTTCCTGTCTCACTGACACTAATACCCCCTTGCCTTATAAACAGATTCCCCCTGCCTCGGGAAGCCCTTCTCTGGTGCAAGTGACTCGTGCCGCCCTGCAAGCCATCACTGACGACCTGGAGAACCTCATCTCTCTTACAGTCGACCCCGCTACAGCAGACTATGCTGTCATTACAGGAGTGCAGATCCACTCTGGAAACCAGGTTCCTGGGGAGGATTTCTGTCCTGAGCGCACGTGTGATTATATCGCGCCGAACGCTATGTATGCGGTCATCAGGGGGGAGAAGCACATTTTGCACTGCGAAGTGAACCAAATCACGGGTATCAGTTCAGTGCCTGCTGACCAGTTTGCTGCCTGAAAGGTAGTTTTGTCTTAGCAAGCTTACCGTACGAGGAAAATAAAAGAAGTATTGGTACCTAGCTTGGTGTGCATGCCTTTTGCAAGATTACCGTACAAGGATAATGCAATGTTTGTAATGCTCCTAACTATCCTGTGTTCAAATCCATGAAAATTTCAAGATTTCCCTAAATATACTTGACGTTGTTCTCATTTGATCATACAAAAATCAATTACACAGTCAATGACATCAGCTGTTGGCTTGAATACATGACATAACAGTGATGTAAAGACAAGCTACATTATGGCGTACATATTTGAGAGAGCCGTCCCTAAAGTATCATACCTAATTGACTAGGCTTCATTAGTCCCCCTCCCAGCGACAATATCAACAATTCTAGTGTTCATTCTCAAGCGCGGCAAGTTACGCTATCGCGTACACAGTCGAGAGAGCCGTCCCTAAAGCATTGTACTTATTTGTCTAGGCTTCATTAGTCCCCCTCCCAGCCACAATATCAACAATTTTAGCGTTCATTCGCAAGCGCGCTCTGCGTGTCGACAATTCGGCGTGCTCAGAGTCGAACTCTTGTTGTTTCTCACCCCGCTGAACTTTTCCTGTTCAGCCAGCGCCCGTCGCTTCTTGTGGTTGTGCGAGTCTTTGGACCGTCCTCGTCATCATGAGTGCGATGAAATTTTGCCGCGAATGGTGGGTCTTCGTCACCTAGCTATCCGGCCGTCTCTTTTGGTACACAGAGAAGCTCAACTGCTTGAAATGCCCTTGCGCCCGATGCTCACTGTTCGTTCATATCCATAGAGACGTGTCAGTCGCGTCTTTGCGCCTTCTCGTCGAACTGCGCACGCCAACCGTATACGCATACGCGTGGTGGTCATGGCGGATACATATCATGTCGTAAATGTGAACATGAGTGCCTATATGCGTTCTTCCCTGTCCCTATCCCACTCCATGCCCTTTTTCTCCAGCCCTGCTTCCAAATCTTTCCTCCTTAACCTCCCTACCATGTTCTTTCCTCCCCCGTCCCCTTCCCTTCCCTCCTTCCCCTCCCCCCTGCCGCTCCCTCCCCCGCCCCCTCCCGGCCCTTGTCGTTTCTTCTGCCTCCATGTGGTATGCAGTAACAACATTTTGTACCCGAGAGAAGATAGAGAGAACCGCGTGTTGCTATATGCATGCAGAAACTGTGACCATCAGGTCTGTCCATGTACCTTATTTGAAGCCCTTCTTTTTGTTTCATGACTGCAACCTTGCCTGGGGATTCTGAGGTTTCTAGATTCATGTACCTGTTAGCTGTGTCACTCCAGCGTCACCCTCCCTCCAACTTCATATCCTCCAGCTGCATTCTCCATTAATGCTTATGCCGACTAACAGGAGGCAGCAGAGAACAATTGCGTGTATCGCAACGAAGTGCATCACACTGCAGATGAGAGAACGCAGATTCTGCAAGATGTAACAGCAGATCCCACACTTCCTCGCACCAAGGCAGTTCGCTGTGCCAAATGTGCCCATGGAGAGGCTGTGTTCTTTCAGGTATGGCCCACCATGATGTTGGCCCTTGGTTCAATTTGAGGCAGAGGCTTCCTCTACATTGCCATATTTTCTCATCTTTGTTTTTCTTTGGAGCGCGTCCTCTTACAGGCTACAAGTCGTGGGGAGGAAGGCATGACCCTGTTTTTTGTGTGCTGCAATCCAAACTGTGGGCACAGGTGGCGAGACTAGAGCTGGTCAGATGAAGTTGCCATATTGGTAATCTGACGTTGCCTTCTATATTAAATGATGTACCAGTAGAACACTTCCTAATAAGAACACCTCAACACAGAAACTGGCAATCCAAGGTTCTAAGAAAACTGCATCAATTTGTCCTGTCCACAAAGTTCAAGCCAAACATGGCGAACGCAATGCTCTGAAGAAAGAGGAAGATGGAGTAATCCCAGCGGTCTTCCACAAAGATCGCGTACATTCCGGCACCAAAGATGAAGGCAGCCATACCCAATTCCCTCTTGTATATTCTACAGAAAAGAAGCGATGAGAAGGTTACGGTACGATAAATCATGGATAACGTAATAAAAGCAATGTCTGCTCTTGGAGCATTCACTTACGTGCGGTTGAACCAGGAGCTCTTGAATTTCTTAGGCTGGGCTTTATCAGCAGCTCCTTGCTTCACCAGGCTTTCAGAGATGACTGGAAGACTCAGACTATGTGGAATGGCTCCAGCTTTTCCCAAATACTTCGCCAGCCCTGTCTTTGCAGTTGCTGCATCAGTCTGGACCCAGTTCCCAAGCTTCTGGGTTACAACCCATGAATGAGCCGTAGATAGGCCCAGAATTCCAGAGACCATTGCGGAGAACTTCACAATGCTCATGGCATTCTCAAATAGAACAAAAGGTACAGCGTACAGCCACGACCTAAGACAGCAGCCAAGATTGTCAATATACCGTACATGAAAACGAGCAAAGCAGCAGAGGTTATGACACTTACCTTGGAGTGAAAGCCACTGTTGAGATAGTCACCAGGATGGGCACATAAACCAAAGCCCAAAATGGGATTGTCACTTCAGGCGCCACAACACAGATCGGTACCAATGTGCAGTAGAATACAAATGACACAATATGGGTGGCAAACAGCCTTGTCCCAAAAAAGAAGCAGTTTAGGTAGATCTTTTGAACAAGTGGGATCTGAGAAAGGTAAACACAGTTAGTATAACTGCAGTCAGGAGAAAGAATCGGCAGTTGCTGAAGCACTTACCTCCGATTCCCAAACTTGATCCATAGCTTTTCTCCAGAGTTGCATCGGCCCACAGCTCCAGCGGTGCTGTTGGTGCCTGAAGGCTGCATATGTTGATGGAATCTCGTTAACACACTGCACACATGACAATGGCATGGGGAGGGAGGGCACGTTGGTTAGACCATCATATCCACAGAAACTGGAGTGGAGCAAGCATGCTGGCTTACCGTTACGTCATTCAAGAATATGAACTTCCAGCCTCTAATGTAAGCTCGAAGAGAGAGATCCATGTCCTCAACAGTCGTCCTGTTGTTCCAACCGCCTGCATCCTTGATTGCAGAGAGCCTCCATACTCCAGCCGTTCCTGCAGAAAAAGAATGGCTACACTCTTAATTACTGAAGGCGCGGGAGATAAATGGACAATGTGTCAGCTACCATTGAAGTTGAAGAAGTTGCCCGTAGCAAATCTGGCATACTGTTCACACTTCAGGTGATAATTGAGAGAAATCTCTTGGACTCGAGTCAAGACGGACTCATCCGCATTGGCGAACACCCAGCGCGTTTGGACAAACGCAGCCCGTGGATTGTCCTGTGGGTTAGCTGAGACAGTAAGACTTCGCCTGGAAAGGGCAAAAGGTAACGCGACTGGAGCGGACTTACAATGAGATACGGGATTGTCTTAAGGAGGAATTCGGGCTCTGGGCTGAAGTCCGCGTCAAAAATGGCAGTGAATTCGTAATCTCCAATTGCCTTCTCAGCCTCCATCATTGCACCAGCTTTATATCCTTGCCGATTGGATCTCCAGCGATCTTCCACGTGAATTCCTAGAGCTACCTTTTCGGCCACTGCAAGGAAGGAAAGAAGGGTAACTACTATGATCCCGTGCGCTTGCAAAGACGAGGATGACAGAAAAGTAATCTGATACCTTTCTTCACCACCCTGCTGCGAGTAATGGGGCAGGTTGAATCGTCCAATATCTGAATGTACAGGCGCGATCTTGGCCATATCAAATTGCAACATGAGTCAATCACTTGTTCGCACACCTGAAAGGTGCAGAAAAGCACATGTCAGACACTGCGGAAGGTGGCGGCAATACAATTTTGTAAGAGAAAATGTGATGCATGCCCTCACCTCTTTTTCGTTGAACATAGGAATCTGAACAACAACTTTGGGAAAGGCTTCAGGACAGGTCGTGAGATCTGGCAAGGAGTTCGCTTCGAAAGCTTCCTCCGGGCGCTTCTTAGAGAACCTCCAGTACAACGCAACGTAAAAGTGGAAGAGACGGTCCGCAGCGACCAGCGACGAGAGGAATGCAGTCACTCCCACAAGAATTTGCAAGACTGGAGAGAGGAAATTGATGCGAGCCTCTCGGCCTTTGACCATCGCGACCACCAGATGACCCTTGGCAGTGTCGATGTGCTTCTTCATCGGGCCATTGTCACCCAGGAGATGACTGAGGAGAGGTTGGCCATGAAGGATGAGAAGAGCGACAGCGCAGACCGACACTATCACCACAGGCACGATGGCTGCTCCCCGCGGAAGCATCTTGCCTGGATGGTATGACAACACTGCAGTCGTGCCTCGAGCAATGATAAGTCACGACTCAGAGCACAAGGGCAAGAGCTACTTGCTCATATTTGGAAAAGCAAGCTGTACTCGAGTGAAGAAGTACCCTGCAACTCGATACTTGAAATGCGAAAAACGTACTCGGCATGCTTGGTGGCGATCCCTTGGGAATCGCTGCCGTGATTGAATGCACAAGGAGCGCGGAGACATCGACGAATTTTATCATAGAAGACACATGCTGATAAGAGGAAGAACACAAGTACAGTAGAATTTCGGGATCAAACGAAGTGGTGTGTTTTTGGAGTCACATAGAATCTAGTCTAGAAGCAAAAGCTTATGAAATTTGTTTGGAAAATACTTGTTCCTTCTAGGATGTCCTGACTGCCAGGACTCAGGATGTGGCAACCTGAACGAGTTTCAGCGTTCTTCAGGGTTGTCTCCTACATGGTATCAAACATTCGTTGAGGTGCAAGCTCATAGTCCTCATGCTCCCCGTATCGAACATTGCGCTCGCGTGCATTCACCTGCAATGGGGAGATACCCATGGGAAGATATCCATCAACCACAACGTGCGAAAATGGGGAGTAATAAAGAAGAGAAAGACATGAAGTGTGGATCGAGGAGGCCCGTGGGTGAGCGTGACGTGTTGATGCGTGCACAAGCACTGTGTGGCCAATTAAAGGGCTTGAAACAGAACGGAGGGCAGTGTGCAACGCGTTTGGTGTGCAGTGAGTACTGAGTACTGAGCAGTGAGCAGTGTGCACACACCCGTGTGAGGTACGTCCGGTCGGAGGAGATCTGCTCGTGCACCAGCGTCAGCTTCTTGGACAGCTTCGTGGCCCTGCACACCCACACAAGTGCAGCACACATGGTTCATGGAGATATTATGGATGCACACTCACAGTGCACAATGCAGCACCCGTGGAGCAACAGCAGATCAGCAACCATGGGTCAAAGCATCGACATTGGATTAGCAGTGCGTCAAAAGAAAAAGAAGAAACTGGATCCGGATTTGGAATGAGAAGGACACCCAGTAAGATGGAGTGGCTATTGCCTTGTTTGAATGCACCTCTCACCTCTGATAGAGCATCTAAAAGTGCTGCTGGAGGAAAGGAACACCTCTGAATAAGCCTCTCACCTCACATCTAAATGTGCCACTCTCTTCAACTCACCTCTGGATATACTCTTCTGTGACAGCAGCCATGTCCAGAGAGTCATACTTTCTAGGGTCACAGCTGTAGCCCAGTCCACCTCTCACCTCTCAGTACACCTCACTTGAACGCACCTCTGGATGTGCGCCGCTCACCTCTGGATGTGCGCCGCTCACCTCTGGATGTGCGCCGCTCACCTCTGGATGTGCGCCGCTCACCTCTGGATGTGTTCTTCAACCACAGCAGCCATGGCGAGTGAGTCATACTTCTCAGGGTCACAGCTGTAGACTCCATGTTGGAGAGGCACACACCAACAGCCGCACCACTGCTGCCCACCCTTCCCACCACAATCATCTCACCTCTAAATGTGAGCCTCTCACCTTTGGATATGTTCTTCCACAACAGCAGCCATGGCGAGCGAGTCGTACTTCTCAGGGTCCTCCTCAAAGCTCACCATGCCCACCTGCTGGTCTATCCTCGCAAACATCTCCCCATCCGCTATCTGTCAAGCACAAGGAGCCACTCATGCACAGGCACAGGGAATGGTGGTGGGTCACAGAGGAGGGCTGTGATTCAACGGAGAAACCTGCCTGCTAGACTATCTGTGCAAACATCTCCCCATCTGCCAGGCACACCGTGACAGGTGAAGACACCAAAAAAAAAAAGCACAAAAAAGGCACAAAAAAAGGCACAAAGGCGACATACATCTTGCAGGACACACCATGGAGGAAATATGCACTTTTCAGCGGATCACGAAAACAAATGTGTATTAACTTGGAAACCACTCACCATGGAAAGAAGGTATTTCTCAGCCTCGGCAGGCGAGGAGAGGTGCACCGACTCAGCAAGGTCGGAGAGCGAGAGAGTGAGGTAGGTGTGAGTGAGACGCTGAATGCTGCGCTTGGGGACCGAGGCGACCACCTGATGGGCCAAGCCTAGGTTGTTGTCCTGGGAAGTGAAGGAAGAGCGAAGAAAGAATGGAAGGGGGAAGGAGAGGGGAGGAGAGAGAAGGGGAGAGAAGATGGGTGTACGAGGAGAGAATAGGAGTGACGGAGGCAGTGTGAGGGGACGAATTCTCATGGATAGTGCAGCCCAGCGCGTTGGTGTGAACACCCACTCACACTTTTGAAAGCGCCCACTCACCACCTTGAGGGCTTGCTCGTGGAAGTCGACAAACTTCTTGAGCTCTTTTGAGTCGACTCAAAAGTCACCTCGTGAGTGCGAACACCCACTCACCACTTGATGCCTCCCACTCACCGCCTTGAAGGCTTGCTCATGCGAGTCGACAAACTTCTTGAGCTCTGCTGCATCGTCTCGTTGCCCTAAATAACATCTGCCTACTGAGTTGATGGAAGTAAGGCCTCCCCAGCCCACCTGTCTTGCACTGACAAAAAAGTCCTGCTAGCTCCCACTCACCGCCTTGAAGGCTTGCTCATGCGAGTCTACAAACTTGTTGAGCTCTTTTGAGTCGACTCACTCACCACTTTGATGCCTCCCACTCACCGCCTTGAAGGCTTGCTCATGCGAGTCTACAAACTTCTTGAGCTCTGCTGCGTCACGAGACATGTAGATGTTCGCCAGGTCGTGGTAGTCCTGTGAGGGGTGGAGAGGGATGGAGAGGGGTGGGTTGTACGTCACTCAATTTCAGGTGAAAAAAAGAGGGTATATGGGCGAGCCATAATGGAAAGGAGTTGCAACAGATTGACACTACAACAAGGGCTCAGCACATGCGCCAAGACGTTGCAGCAAAGGATACAGCAGGTTGACTTTTGAGTCGACTCAAAAGTCAATTGACACTGAAGCAAGGGCTCAGCACATGTGCCAAAGACGTTGCAGCAAAGGATACAGCAGGTTGACTTTTGAGTCGACTCAAAAGTCAATTGACACTGAAGCAAGGGCTCAGCACATGTGCCAAAGACGTTGCAGCAAAGGATACAGCAGGTAAAGCCCTGCTTGCACACACCTGGCAGCACGCCTTTAGCCCTCTCTGCACGATGCCTGGAGTGAACTTGGGTAGAGGCGACAGCTTCTCTCATGGGACCGTGGGGAGTGGGAGCGAGGGAAGGAGTAAATGAGGGAGCAAAGGAAGGGATGGAGAAAGGGAGTTGTTTTAGCCCTCTCTGCACGATGCCTGGAGTGAACTTGGGTAGAGGCGACAGCTGCTCTCGTGGTACCATGGGGGGAGGGAGCGAGGGGAGGGACCGAGAATAGGGAGAAAAGGAAACGAAGGGAGGGATGGAGAATTGGAGGAAGAGTGTTGCTTTCCAAGATTCCACTAAGAACCAGCAAGAATTAACTACTACAACTAGCTCGAAGCCTGCTTGCTGATACAGCACCATTGCTAGCACAACAAACAAGGTACGCACCACACCACACCACTCCGCACCACACCACCCACCTGTGCGTGCAGGATGAGCGAGACGAGCACGTGTCTCTTGTATGCCGCCACTGTGATGGCATTCTTGTGAGGAAAAGGGGATGGCATCACATTGCACCACAGCACACAACACCACACCACACCGCACTGCATCGCACTGCACCACACCGTACCCACCTGGGCGTTCAGGATGAGCGACACGAGCACATGTCTCTTGTAAGCCGCCACTGTGATGGCATTCACTCCCTGCGCTGGGGATGTGATGGCCTGGAGAGGAGGTTGTTGAGAAGAGTTGGTGAAAAAGTGGTAAGGGTTCAGAGTTAGGGTTCCCGGGAGAAGAGGAAAGCGTGCCACTCCTTGCATGCTGCCACTGTGATGGCATTCACTCCCTGCGCTGGGGATGTGATGGCCTGGAGGGGAATGGGGAAAAGGGGGAGACGGAGTGGGGGAGGTGGGGTTGGGTGGTACAGACAGATGAGAACGTCCCATTTGATCTCCCATTTGATCTCCCATTTGATCAATGAGATGGAAGAAAAGAAATATAGTTCGATACGTTGAAAGAGAATGGTAAATTGTCCAACTGATACCATGGATAAAAGGATCGTCACTGAAAGGGATGCCAGCAAAATGGGAGACGGACGATGCCGAGACAGTGAGACACATTGGCAAACAGGGATAGGGAAGCAGCGATTGCAGGTGCGTTGAACACGCTGTAAACAAGGGTGTCAAACCACGCTCACAAGTTTCAGGTCACACTCACACTAGCCAGGCCCCACTGTCACGCACTAATCAGACCCCACTGACAAGCGCAGCGCTAAATATCAGACCCACTCACATGCATGAAGAGGTCTAGAGCCTTCTGGTACTGCTTCAGACCCACATAGATGGTGCCTCTGCGGGGATTGGGATACAACAGGCAGCGAGGCAGGGAGAGGAAGTGGGTGGATGAGGATTAAGAAAATATGATTCGTGAAGAGAAGGTCTGGAGCCTTCTGGTACTGCTTCAGATCAGACCCACATAGATGGTGCCTCTGTGGAGAAAGTGGGATGCAACAGGCAGAGGAGTAGGGGTAAGGAGGGGTTGAGTGAGGATTGGCGGGCAAAGAGGAGGGGGAAGGAGCACAGACGGACAAGTGGTAGGGGAAGAAAGCAGCCGACAATGGGAGAGGGGGAAGAGGATGCTAGTCATTATTATCATAAATAGTATCCGCACCCGTAGAAGCACACAAGTATCTCAACTTTTGATTCGCCTCAAAAGACGATTTTTGAGGCGCCTCAAAAAACACCACAAGGATCTCAACCCAATCAATAGAATCCCCACCCATAGAAGCACACAAACGTCTGCATCCGTACAAGCACAAGGAGCTCAACCCAATCATAATAATTACCACCCATAGAAGCACAAAAAACTCAATTCATTTAATTATTCTCATGCCTACCCATAGAAGCAGTACAGCAGGAAGTCCCGGTGCACCAGCCCCGTTTTCTTGGGGTCAATATCGAGAATATCCCCCTGCAGCAGCTCGCCCCCCTGGCGGTAGAGCTTGGCCAGCAGGCACAGCTGCAGGCAGTCCGCGTGTTGCGGGGTGAGATGCTCGGCACTGCTGCTGTGCTGCACCTTGCTGATTGCCCACCGTAGTGGCAGGACGCCTCGAGCGTACTGGGAGTGTGCGATGAGCTGGTCTCGCAGGCGATGGCACAGGGAGGCGACTGGACGGGGGGGAAAGAGCAGGGAGGAAGGGAAAAGGAAGGCCGGGGGAAAGGAGGGGAGCGGAAAGGAAAGGAGAAGGGGAACGGAGGGCAGTGGAAAGAAGGGAAGGAGAAGGGAGGGCGCAAGGCACAGGTGCAGGGAGTGGGCGTGGTGCAGGGTGAGGATCTCACGTACCTCAGAGGAATCTCACGCTCTCGCACTCCTTAAAAATCTCAAGCCTACGCTGCTCCCCACAGTCCCTAGAAAAACTTCAGGAGCCTGCCTCCACTGCAATGCCTGCACTGCAATGCCTCCACTGCAATGCCTGCACTGCAATGCCTCCACTGCAATGCCTGCACTGCAATGCCTCCACTGCAATGCCTGCACTGCAATGCCTCCACTGCAATGCCTGCACTGCAATGCCTCCACTGCAATGCCTGCACTGCAATGCCTCCACTGCAATGCCTGCACTGCAATGCCTCCACTGCAATGCCTCCACTGCACTGCAATGCCTCCACTGCAATGCCTGCACTGCAATGCCTCCACTGCAATGCCTGCACTGCAATGCCTCCACTGCAATGCCTGCACTGCAATGCCTCCACTGCAATGCCTGCACTGCAATGCCTCCACTGCAATGCCTGCACTGCAATGCCTCCACTGCAATGCCTCCACTGCAATGCCTCCACTGCAATGCCTGCACTGCAATGCCTCCACTGCAATGCCTGCACTGCAATGCCTCCACTGCAATGCCTGCACTGCAATGCCTCCACTGCAATGCCTCCACTGCAATGCCTCCACTGCAATGCCTGCACTGCAATGCCTCCACTGCAATGCCTCCACTGCAATGCCTCCACTGCAATGCCTGCACTGCAATGCCTCCACTGCAATGCCTGCACTGCAATGCCTCCACTGCAATGCCTGCACTGCAATGCCTCCACTGCAATGCCTCCACTGCAATGCCTGCACTGCAATGCCTCCACTGCAATGCCTGCACTGCAATGCCTCCACTGCAATGCCTGCACTGCAATGCCTCCACTGCAATGCCTGCACTGCAATGCCTCCACTGCAATGCCTGCACTGCAATGCCTCCACTGCAATGCCTGCACTGCAATGCCTCCACTGCAATGCCTGCACTGCAATGCCTCCACTGCAATGCCTGCACTGCAATGCCTCCACTGCAATGCCTGCACTGCAATGCCTCCACTGCAATGCCTGCACTGCAATGCCTCCACTGCAATGCCTGCACTGCAATGCCTCCACTGCAATGCCTCCACTGCAATGCCTGCACTGCAATGCCTCCACTGCAATGCCTCCACTGCAATGCCTCCACTGCAATGCCTGCACTGCAATGCCTCCACTGCAATGCCTGCACTGCAATGCCTCCACTGCAATGCCTGCACTGCAATGCCTCCACTGCAATGCCTGCACTGCAATGCCTCCACTGCAATGCCTCCACTGCAATGCCTCCACTGCAATGCCTGCACTGCAATGCCTCACTGCAATGCCTCCACTGCAATGCCTCCACTGCAATGCCTCCACTGCAATGCCTCCACTGCAATGCCTCACTGCAATGCCTCCACTGCAATGCCTCCACTGCAATGCCTCCACTGCAATGCCTGCACTGCAATGCCTCCACTGCAATGCCTCCACTGCAATGCCTCCACTGCAATGCCTGCACTGCAATGCCTCCACTGCAATGCCTCCACTGCAATGCCTCCACTGCAATGCCTGCACTGCAATGCCTCCACTGCAATGCCTGCACTGCAATGCCTCCACTGCAATGCCTGCACTGCAATGCCTCCACTGCAATGCCTGCACTGCAATGCCTCCACTGCAATGCCTCCACTGCAATGCCTCCACTGCAATGCCTGCACTGCAATGCCTCCACTGCAATGCCTCCACTGCAATGCCTCCACTGCAATGCCTCCACTGCAATGCCTGCACTGCAATGCCTCCACTGCAATGCCTCCACTGCAATGCCTCCACTGCAATGCCTGCACTGCAATGCCTCCACTGCAATGCCTGCACTGCAATGCCTCCACTGCAATGCCTGCACTGCAATGCCTCCACTGCAATGCCTGCACTGCAATGCCTCCACTGCAATGCCTCCACTGCAATGCCTCCACTGCAATGCCTGCACTGCAATGCCTCCACTGCAATGCCTGCACTGCAATGCCTCCACTGCAATGCCTGCACTGCAATGCCTCCACTGCAATGCCTGCACTGCAATGCCTCCACTGCAATGCCTGCACTGCAATGCCTCCACTGCAATGCCTGCACTGCAATGCCTCCACTGCAATGCCTGCCACTGCAATGCCTCCACTGCAATGCCTGCACTGCAATGCCTCCACTGCAATGCCTGCACTGCAATGCCTCCACTGCAATGCCTGCACTGCAATGCCTCCACTGCAATGCCTGCACTGCAATGCCTCCACTGCAATGCCTGCACTGCAATGCCTCCACTGCAATGCCTGCACTGCAATGCTGCAATGCCTCCACTGCAATGCCTCCACTGCAATGCCTCCACTGCAATGCCTGCACTGCAATGCCTCCACTGCAATGCCTGCACTGCAATGCCTCCACTGCAATGCCTGCACTGCAATGCCTCCACTGCAATGCCTCCACTGCAATGCCTGCACTGCAATGCCTCCACTGCAATGCCTGCACTGCAATGCCTCCACTGCAATGCCTGCACTGCAATGCCTCCACTGCAATGCCTGCACTGCAATGCCTCCACTGCAATGCCTGCACTGCAATGCCTCCACTGCAATGCCTGCACTGCAATGCCTCCACTGCAATGCCTGCACTGCAATGCCTCCACTGCAATGCCTGCACTGCAATGCCTCCACTGCAATGCCTGCACTGCAATGCCTCCACTGCAATGCCTGCACTGCAATGCCTCCACTGCAATGCCTTCACTGCAATGCCTCCACTGCAATGCCTGCACTGCAATGCCTCCACTGCAATGCCTCACTGCAATGCCTCCACTGCAATGCCTGCACTGCAATGCCTCCACTGCAATGCCTGCACTGCAATGCCTCCACTGCAATGCCTGCACTGCAATGCCTCCACTGCAATGCCTGCACTGCAATGCCTCCACTGCAATGCCTCCACTGCAATGCCTCCACTGCAATGCCTGCACTGCAATGCCTCCACTGCAATGCCTCCACTGCAATGCCTCCACTGCAATGCCTCCACTGCAATGCCTCCACTGCAATGCCTCCACTGCAATGCCTCCACTGCAATGCCTCCACTGCAATGCCTCCACTGCAATGCCTCCACTGCAATGCCTCCACTGCAATGCCTGCACTGCAATGCCTCCACTGCAATGCCTGCACTGCAATGCCTCCACTGCAATGCCTGCACTGCAATGCCTCCACTGCAATGCCTGCACTGCAATGCCTCCACTGCAATGCCTGCACTGCAATGCCTCCACTGCAATGCCTGCACTGCAATGCCTCCACTGCAATGCCTGCACTGCAATGCCTCCACTGCAATGCCTGCACTGCAATGCCTCCACTGCAATGCCTCACTGCAATGCCTGCACTGCAATGCCTCCACTGCAATGCCTGCACTGCAATGCCTCCACTGCAATGCCTGCACTGCAATGCCTCCACTGCAATGCCTGCACTGCAATGCCTCCACTGCAATGCCTGCACTGCAATGCCTCCACTGCAATGCCTGCACTGCAATGCCTCCACTGCAATGCCTGCACTGCAATGCCTCCACTGCAATGCCTCCACTGCAATGCCTCCACTGCAATGCCTGCACTGCAATGCCTCCACTGCAATGCCTCCACTGCAATGCCTCCACTGCAATGCCTCCACTGCAATGCCTGCACTGCAATGCCTCCACTGCAATGCCTGCACTGCAATGCCTCCACTGCAATGCCTGCACTGCAATGCCTCCACTGCAATGCCTGCACTGCAATGCCTCCACTGCAATGCCTGCACTGCAATGCCTCCACTGCAATGCCTGCACTGCAATGCCTCCACTGCAATGCCTCCACTGCAATGCCTCCACTGCAATGCCTCCACTGCAATGCCTCCACTGCAATGCCTCCACTGCAATGCCTCCACTGCAATGCCTCCACTGCAATGCCTCCACTGCAATGCCTGCACTGCAATGCCTCCACTGCAATGCCTGCACTGCAATGCCTCCACTGCAATGCCTGCACTGCAATGCCTCCACTGCAATGCCTGCACTGCAATGCCTCCACTGCAATGCCTCCACTGCAATGCCTCCACTGCAATGCCTGCACTGCAATGCCTCCACTGCAATGCCTCCACTGCAATGCCTCCACTGCAATGCCTCCACTGCAATGCCTGCACTGCAATGCCTCCACTGCAATGCCTCCACTGCAATGCCTCCACTGCAATGCCTCCACTGCAATGCCTCCACTGCAATGCCTCCACTGCAATGCCTCCACTGCAATGCCTCCACTGCAATGCCTGCACTGCAATGCCTCCACTGCAATGCCTGCACTGCAATGCCTCCACTGCAATGCCTGCACTGCAATGCCTCCACTGCAATGCCTGCACTGCAATGCCTCCACTGCAATGCCTCCACTGCAATGCCTCCACTGCAATGCCTGCACTGCAATGCCTCCACTGCAATGCCTCCACTGCAATGCCTCCACTGCAATGCCTCCACTGCAATGCCTCCACTGCAATGCCTGCACTGCAATGCCTCCACTGCAATGCCTGCACTGCAATGCCTCCACTGCAATGCCTGCACTGCAATGCCTCCACTGCAATGCCTCCACTGCAATGCCTCCACTGCAATGCCTGCACTGCAATGCCTCCACTGCAATGCCTCCACTGCAATGCCTCCACTGCAATGCCTGCACTGCAATGCCTCCACTGCAATGCCTGCACTGCAATGCCTCCACTGCAATGCCTGCACTGCAATGCCTCCACTGCAATGCCTGCACTGCAATGCCTCCACTGCAATGCCTCCACTGCAATGCCTCCACTGCAATGCCTGCACTGCAATGCCTGCACTGCAATGCCTCCACTGC